CTGAGACTTCTCATAAACTACTTTTGTGTGGTGGCCTGTATACTTTTTTTATTTGATGTAATATATAGCGTGGAATTACTTCACATTAGTTTAACTGCAGTATATTTTTTGTATTGTGGTAAAATTGTGTTATTTTAAATCTATTATTGTTCGAACGCTGGTCTTCACCATGGTGATGAAGATGATGATGACGTCTGTTGTTTTAAGCAGATGTTCCTAAAATTCAAATTCAGTTCCAAACCAGAGCGCTCAAATCCGCACGTGAAAACTTTCATCTGTTGGACGAGATCGATTTATTGGCAACTATCAACTTTGAACGACGAAAAGATCTTCAACTAACATCTAGAAGTTACTTTCAGACTGCAGTATTAAGCGACAAGTTATGGCTTTATCCGCATCTGGCAGAGAGAAGTTCCTTGTCTCCATCGGCATCTTCCGACTGCCTGCTGACTATGGTAAAACTTGACAAAACTTTTTTTTCTGTGTCTTTTATGACATTAAACTCTGGGGAAAGACTTGAATAATATAGATTGGGATATTTATCAGTTTAAAACATCGAATTATCTCATAATTTTTGCAGAAAATATGTCAACTTTGATCAAATGTTTAATGTAATAGGCCTATTGTTTGACAGTAATAGATTCATGTTTTTTTCGCCTTATACGGTCTTTAAATATTGATAAATGTAATGTGCACCGACGGTAATAGGAGTAACATGAGTAAAAATATGAATATTAGTGTTTGAGCAAAAAAATGTATTTTACTTGGTTGAAATGTTTTAACATTGAAAGTAATGGGCAAAGATGGCGCCGGTTCCATTATCATTCCATCGTTTAAAAAATGCTAAAAGTTGTATGTTTCTCCCGCGCCATGGAGACGACGTCAAATATTACACCTATCGGAGACATACGTCTGACGTCAGAGCCCGGGCCTGCTGTGAGTGTGAATGACAGAGTTATCGTGGCTGTTCATCTACATATGAACGATTCCTTCATTACAAATCATTAACCAGCAAATAATTCAACTCTGTAATGAGGGCAGTTCCCGAGGCTTTAACTCACCTAATGAACATTTAACTGCGATAATGAACAAGAAATGCCACAACAGACTCATCGGTAGTATCTTGTGTGAACGAAAGAGAATTAAACCTGAGAGGAGATGTTTATGAAATAGCGTTTTCATTCATGTTAACTGGGAACAAGCACGCCTTTTACCATAGAAATGTTGCATCACAAATAATATCAAGGAAATAGCGTTATATTAAGGTCACACAACACTTATCCAATACATTGATAAATCTCCAAAATATAAGAAATTGATTACAAAGAAATGCACTTTTCCAATAATGAAGAATCCTCATCACAATAATTTTTTCATTGAACACAATTGAAGGATTTTCAGACTCAAATGTTGGCATATTTGTTTAGTAAAACTAAACATAATATTGTCTTTGAATGTGGTTTCAGTGTTTGGAGAATAAGTGTTTCATGTATTACTGACACTTGAACTTGATGAACTTGAATCATCTTTCAGTATCAGAGTCTTTGTGTTCTTCTGTCTTCAATCATTTGAATTTTGAAATCAGAGTCCAGCAGCTACTCTGCTTTATTTTTCTGGTCTTTAAGAAGTCCTGTCATTGTCATCCTGAGCGTTTGTTTCATGTTTTTCTCTTCTCCTCTTTCTGTCCAGCCTTTCTGCCTCTGCCAAGACGAACCCTTAAGGTGTATGTCACCAACCTGAGGAATCGTCCTGTGGAGAGTGTTAGAGTGGTGTCCCTGAATAAAACTGTGATGAGCCTGTATCACAACCTCATCACAGGCTCCTGGGACTTCCCTGTGATCCTCTTCAGAGGACCCACTCGCTTCAGGCAGGACTCTCCACCGTTTAGGAGGGAGGAGGTGATGATGTCTGAAATCAGCGTGTTCGTTTTTGTGGTCAGTTGGAGTGGAACATGAAGCTGTGGTGGCCTCACTGTGACGCTCTCATCGCCTACCTGATGACCTACAGTCACACTAAGAGACCAGAGCTGCTGGAGAGATTCTCTCAAGTGTATGAGTACACCTTCAGTCACGTGAGTTATTACTGAGGGAAACGTACCCGAGGAAAAATCTCATGCTATACCTCTGAAGTGTTTAATGTTAACAAATGACCATCACGATGACTTGTAACTTATGAAGCCTCACTTAAGAAGCACTGAAATATTCCTTTAATGTTTATATTGTAGAAACATTGGGTAGAATAGAAAAGAAAAGAAGTTGTAGAGAAGAAAAAAGATGTTAAAATAGACGAAAAAGAGATGCCAAAAATAGAATAGCAGAGACTAGTAATGGGAGTGTGCTAAATAACCGTGCAAGATTAACGAAGACAGGGCCCATATCTTCTTAACGGTAAGACAATGTGTAAATTAGTGACTAATGTGAACGTCTAGCTCAAAAAGGATAGTCGAATTCGGGGCGTGGAAAGAAAAAGTGAGGAGTAAAACCCGGAGCCCAGGGTAATTGGCAAATAAATGATGAAAAGAGATAAAGAGTAAAAGAGACAAAGTGAAAAAGAGAAAAAAGCTGAGATGGCCGAAAAAGAGAAAAAGTTAACTTAATGTTAGGGACGATGCGATAGGGCATACAAACCGGTAAGGACAGTTTAAAGAAGGAAAAAAGGCCTATGTACTATAGTAAGGAAACATTGAGCTCAGTGAGAAGAGGTGTGCTGAAATTTGAGTGTGTGAGAGAAGCTTCTGGTGTGTGTGTGAGAGGAGTGTGTGTATGGGTGCTGAGCTGTGAGTGTGAGTGCAAAAGAGTCTGTGTGCAGTGAGTGGTGTGTACACAAAGTTGGGGAATGATCTAGCATAGGTTTAAGTGATTAACTTATGATAAAGTGATAAATGATGTCTTATTAAATATATAATGATATGATATAAGAAATTAACATATAAGGGAAGAGATACTGATGCCTTTGTAGTGCTAAAAAAACATATGAGCCCTGGTTTCTTTGTACAGGGACGTTAATAGAATAAGTAACTGCTATGAGCCTCTCAGGATAAAGAGGACGTTTGTACAGCTAATAGTAAGAAATGAGCCCCTTATTAGATGAGGAGGACTTTGGATGGTGATAACATCCTTGACTAATATTGCAATTAAAGAAGTGTACACAAGCACATTTTTGTTCATACAGATACAGGAAAAAACAGAGTGAAAGATTGGAATGATTTGCTGACTGATGGGTGTGTGGTTTTCCTCTGTGTGTGTGTGAATATTTAAAGTGAATGGTCACTTGCTGATGATCATGTTTAGAGGGAAGTCCTAGTTAAAAATTGGAAAACTCTAGGGAGCTTTTCCTCCCTCTTTCTTTCTCTTCTTACAGGCCTGAGAACAGAAAGAAAGCTAAAAAATCTAGTTTAACTATCCTAGATGTGTGAAAATTTTAAATGGTATACCATGATCAGGGGATTGGGGTATAATAAATTTAGGTAGTCTTATGGTAGAAGAAATCTTTAAATAGTGGTAGTAAACGTTTTAAATTGTATTGAATGAAGTGATTGTAATGTACTAAACATTTGATTTGTTCTTTGTCCCTAACTCTGATGCATGAGAGGGGAGAGGAGAATGAAAGGAGTCTGACGTTGGAGCGCCCATGAGACAGATAAGAAGATAATTGGCTGTGCTGCAACAAGAGGGGGCTTGCGGATGAGAGGCTCACCAGGTCCTGCTCCCATTTGACAGGCCAGTACAGTTTTGTCTACAAACTCTTCTCCTATGTGTCTGCTGCTACTTAGTTGTACATACACACATTAATAGTGGGAACACATTTAGTTGGGTGTTTATATTTGTTAGTGCTAGACAATAAGAGCAGTAGTTTTGTTGGTAAAAAGAAAGGCTTGGCAATAGAAATATTGCATAACCAGATTTATTAACCCAGTCTGTTAATGTTCACTTTTAATTCATAGATGATTGAACCAAAAAAATAGTAATTTACTTTTTTATCTTTGGATTTACTGAGAAAACTGTTCTGCTCACAGCTGTGGTCAATTTACTCATGTTGTATTTTATTTGTCATTTCATTTCAGAGAGGAGATGAAACCAGACCAGATGATAGCAGACCAGACCAGAGAGGAGCTGAGGGGGCAGCCTGCATCACAAACTATCTTCAAAAGAAAGGTAAGTTTTTTTTTTAAATTCCACCTTATTTACTGGTAACTGTTACATTATTTTACAAGTATCTGAAAATTTTAATTAACCTTCCCTTTTTTTCTTTCCAAGTTATTTGTCTGTTATAGAAATGAAACAAGCCTAGACCAAACTGGAGAAGACCAGAGTGGACCAGATGATAGCAGACCAGACCAGAGAGGAGCTGAGGGGGCAGCCTGCATCACAAACTATCTTCAAAAGAAAGGTATGTTTTTTTTTTTTAATTCCACCTTATTTACTGGTAACTGTTACATTATTCTACAACTATCTGAAATTTTTAATTAACCTTTCCTTTTTTTCTCCCGTTATTTGTCTATTATAGAAATGAAACAAGCCTAGACCAAACTGGAGAAGACCAGAGTGGACCAGATGATAGCAGACCAGACCAGAGAGGAGCTTAGGGGACATATTTAAGGATATATTTTATCCTTAATTTCATTCCCAATTGTTTCACTGTAAAAATTGTTTCAGTTGGAGTCTTCAGTGGTGTTATAACTTTTCTTTTTCCTCTTATGTGATTTGTCTTGTACAGAGAAGACAGAAAACCAGTCCAGACCAGATACCAGCTGAGGGGGCAGCATACCTTACAAGCCATCTTTAAAAAATAACGTACGTTTTTCCCATGCAATATTTTTTTGTTTGTTTTGATCAAAATTACTTTACTGTAAATATTATTATTTCAAAATTGTCTTCACTTGTTAACTTTTTTGTCGCCCACATTATTTGTCCTTTACAGAAAGGAAACAAGTCGAGACCAGAATGGAGGTGTATAGATGATGTCTGAAATCAGCGTGTTCGTTTTTGTGGTCAGTTGGAGTGGAACATGAAGCTGTGGTGGCCTCACTGTGAAGCTCTCATCGCCTACCTGATGACCTACAGTCACACTAAGAGACCAGAGCTGCTGGAGAGATTCTCTCAGGTGTATGAGTACACCTTCAGTCACGTGAGTTATTACTGAGGGAAACGTACCCGAGGAAAAATCTCATGCTACACCTCTGAAGTGTTTAATGTTAACAAATGACCGTCACGATGACTTGTAACTTATGAAGCCTCACTTAAGAAGCACTGAAATATTCCTTTAATGTTCATATTGTAGAAACATTGGGTAGAATAGAAAAGAAAAGAAGTTGTAGAGAAGAAAAAAGATGTTAAAATAGACGAAAAAGAGATGCCAAAAATAGAATAGCAGAGACTAGTAATGGGAGTGTGCTAAATAACCGTGCAAGATTAACGAAGACAGGGCCCATATCTACTTAACGGTAAGACAATGTGTAAATTAGTGACTAATGTGAACGTCTAGCTCAAAAAGGATAGTCGAATTCGGGGCGTGGAAAGAAAAAGTGAGGAGTAAAACCCGGAGCCCAGGGTAATTGGCAAATAAATGATGAAAAGAGATAAAGAGTAAAAGAGACAAAGTGAAAAAGAGAAAAAGGCTGAGATGGCCGAAAAAGAGAAAAAGTTAACTTAATGTTAGGGACGATGCGATAGGGCATACAAACCGGTAAGGACAGTTTAAAGAAGAAAAAAAGGCCTATATACTATAGTAAGGAAACATTGAGCTCAGTGAGAAGAGGTGTGCTGAAATTTGAGTGTGTGAGAGAAGCTTCTGGTGTGTGTGTGAGAGGAGTGTGTGTATGGGTGCTGAGCTGTGAGTGTGAGTGCAAAAGAGTCTGTGTGCAGTGAGTGGTGTGTACACAAAGTTGGGGAATGATCTAGCATAGGTTTAAGTGATTAACTTATGATAAAGTGATAAATGATGTCTTATTAAATATATAATGATATGATATAAGAAATTAACATATAAGGGAAGAGATACTGATGCCTTTGTAGTGCTAAAAAAAACATACGAGCCCTGGTTTCTTTGTACAGGGACGTTAATAGAATAAGTAACTGCTATGAGCCTCTCAGGATAAAGAGGACGTTTGTACAGCTAATAGTAAGAAATGAGCCCCTTATTAGATGAGGAGGACTTTGGATGGTGATAACATCCTTGACTAATATTGCAATTAAAGAAGTGTACACAAGCACATTTTTGTTCATACAGATACAGGAAAAAACAGAGTGAAAGATTGGAATGATTTGCTGACTGATGGGTGTGTGGTTTTCCTCTGTGTGTGTGTGAATGTTTAAAGTGAATGGTCACTTGCTGATGATCATGTTTAGAGGGAAGTCCTAGTTAAAAATTGGAAAAATCCAGGGAGCTTTTCCTCCCTCTTTCTTTCTCTTCTTACAGGCCTGAGAACAGAAAGAAAGCTAAAAAATCTAGTTTAACTATCCTAGATGTGTGAAAATTTTAAATGGTATACCATGATCAGGGGATTGGGGTATAATAAATTTAGGTAGTCTTATGGTAGAAGAAATCTTTAAATAGTGGTAGTAAACGTTTTAAATTGTATTGAATGAAGTGATTGTAATGTACTAAACATTTGATTTGTTCTTTGTCCCTAACTCTGATGCATGAGAGGGGAGAGGAGAATGAAAGGAGTCTGACGTTGGAGCTCCCATGAGACAGATAAGAAGATAAATGGCTGTGCTGCAAACAAGAGGGGGCTTGCAGATGAGAGGCTCACCAGGTCCTGCTCCCATTTGACAGGCCAGTACAGTTTTGTCTACAAACTCTTCTCCGATGTGTCTGCTGCTACTTAGTTGTACATACACACATTAATAGTGGGAACACATTTAGTTGGGTGTTTATATTTGTTAGTGCTAGACAATAAGAGCAGTAGTTTTGTTGGTAAAAAGAAAGGCTTGGCAATAGAAATATTGCATAACCAGATTTATTAACCCAGTCTGTTAATGTTCACTTTTAATTCATAGATGATTGAACCAAAAAAATAGTAATTTACTTTTTTATCTTTGGATTTACTGAGAAAACTGTTCTGCTCACAGCTGTGGTCAATTTACTCATGTTGTATTTTATTTGTCATTTCATTTTAGAGAGGAGATGAAACCAGACCAGATGATAGCAGACCAGACCAGAGAGGAGCTGAGGGGGCAGCCTGCATCACAAACTATCTTCAAAAGAAAGGTACGTTTTTTTTTGAAATTCCACCTTATTTACTGGTAACTGTTACATTATTCTACAAGAATCTGAAAATTTTAATTAACCTTCCCTTTTTTTCTTTCCAAGTTATTTGTCTGTTATAGAAATGAAACAAGCCTAGACCAAACTGGAGAAGACCAGAGTGGACCAGATGATAGCAGACCAGACCAGAGAGGAGCTGAGGGGGCAGCCTGCATCACAAACTATCTTCAAAAGAAAGGTAAGTTTTTTTTTTAATTCCACCTTATTTACTGGTAACTGTTACATTATTTTACAAGTATCTGAAAATTTTAATTAACCGTCCCTTTTTTTCTCTCCAAGTTATTTGTCTGTTATAGAAATGAAACAAGCCTAGACCAAACTGGAGAAGACCAGAGTGGACCAGATGATAGCAGACCAGACCAGAGGGGAGCTGAGGGGACAGCCTGCATCGCAAACTATCTTAAAAAAAAAGGTAAGTATATTTTATTTTAACTGCTCTTATTGGTAACTGTTTCATTATTCTACAAGTGTCTGAAGTTTTTTATTAATTTTTTTGTCTCCAAATTTATTTGTCTTTTATGGAAAGGAAACAAGCCTAGACCAGACTGGAGGAGATCAGACCAGACCAGATGATAGCAGACCAGACCAGATGATAGCAGACCAGACCAGAGGGGAGCTGAGGGGACAGCCTGCATCGCAAACCATCTTTAAAAAAAAGATTCATTAACTTTATTCTAATATATTATCCTTATATATTTCTGGATGTATTTTTAAATTTAGGATTCAAATGTTAGTATTTACGGTTAAGTAATGCTTCTACTATTACAATTACTTATACTTTTACTCTGGAATTTATTTGTGTGTCATATAGTGGAGAAGACAGAAACCAGACTAGACCAGAGACCAAGACTGGAGAACAGAGTGGAGACCAGATGAGTCCAGACCAGAGAAGAGCTGAGGGGGCAGCCGACATCGCAAACTGACAAAAAAAAAAGATAAATATATTTTATCCTTAATTTCATCCCCAATTGTTTCACTGTAAAATTGTTTCAGTCGGAGTCTTCAGTGGTGTTATAACTTTTCTTTTTCCTCTTATGTGATTTGTCTTGTACAGAGAAGACAGAAAACCAGTCCAGACCAGATACCAGCTGAGGGGGCAGCATACCTTACAAGCCATCTTTAAAAAATAACGTAAGTTTTTCCCATGCCATATTTTTTTGTTTGTTTTGATCAAAATTACTTCCCTGTAAATATTATTATTTCAAAATTGTCTTCACTTGTTAACTTTTTTGTCGCCCACATTATTTGTCCTTTACAGAAAGGAAACAAGTCTAGACCAGACTGGAGGTGTATAGATGATGTCTGAAATCAGCGTGTTCGTTTTTGTGGTCAGTTGGAGTGGAACATGAAGCTGTGGTGGCCTCACTGTGAAGCTCTCATCGCCTACCTGATGACCTAGAGTCACACTATGAGACCAGAGCTGCTGGAGAGATTCTCTCAAGTGTATGAGTACACCTTCAGTCACGTGAGTTATTACTGAGGGAAACGTACCCGAGGAAAAATCTCATGCTACACCTCTGAAGTGTTTAATGTTAACAAATGACCGTCACGATGACTTGTAACTTATGAAGCCTCACTTAAGAAGCACTGAAATATTCCTTTAATGTTCATATTGTAGAAACATTGGGTAGAATAGAAAAGAAAAGAAGTTGTAGAGAAGACAAAAGATGTTAAAATAGACGAAAAAGAGATGCCAAAAATAGAATAGCAGAGACTAGTAATGGGAGTGTGCTAAATAACCGTGCAAGATTAACGAAGACAGGGCCCATATCTTCTTAACGGTAAGACAATGTATAAATTAGTGACTAATGTGAACGTCTAGCTCAAAAAGGATAGTCGAATTCGGGGCGTGGAAAGAAAAAGTGAGGAGTAAAACCCGGAGCCCAGGGTAATTGGCAAATAAATGATGAAAAGAGATAAAGAGTAAAAGAGACAAAGTGAAAAAGAGAAAAAGGCTGAGATGGCCGAAAAAGAGAAAAAGTTAACTTAATGTTAGGGAAGATGCGATTGGGCATACAAACCGGTGAGGACAGTTTAAAGAAGGAAAAAAGGCCTATATACTATAGTAAGGAAACATTGAGCTCAGTGAGAAGAGGTGTGCTGAAGTTTGAGTGTGTGAGAGAAGCTTCTGGTGTGTGTGTGAGAGGAGTGTGTGTATGGGTGCTGAGCTGTGAGTGTGAGTGCAAAAGAGTCTGTGTGCAGTGAGTGGTGTGTACACAAAGTTGGGGAATGATCTAGCATAGGTTTAAGTGATTAACTTATGATAAAGTGATAAATGATGTCTTATTAAATATATAATGATATGATATAAGAAATTAACATATAAGGGAAGAGATACTGATGCCTTTGTAGTGCTAAAAAAAACATATGAGCCCTGGTTTCTTTGTACAGGGACGTTAATAGAATAAGTAACTGCTATGAGCCTCTCAGGATAAAGAGGACGTTTGTACACCTAATAGTAAGAAATGAGCCCCTTATTAGATGAGGAGGACTTTGGATGGTGATAACATCCTTGACTAATATTGCAATTAAAGAAGTGTACACAAGCACATTTTTGTTCATACAGATACAGGAAAAAACAGAGTAAAAGATTGGAATGATTTGCTGACTGATGGGTGTGGTTTTCCTCTGTGTGTGTGTGTGTGTGTGAATGTTTAAAGTGAATGGTCACTTGCTGATGATCATGTTTAGAGGGAAGTCCTAGTTAAAAATTGGAAAAATCCAGGGAGCTTTTCCTCCCTCTTTCTTTCTCTTCTTACAGGCCTGAGAACAGAAAGAAAGCTAAAAAATCTAGTTTAACTATCCTAGTTGCGTGAAAATTTTAAATGATATACCATGATCAGGGGATTGGGGTATAATAAATGTAGGTAGTCTTATGGTAGAAGAAATCTTTAAATAGTGGTAGTAAACGTTTTAAATTGTATTGATTGAAGTGATTGTAATGTACTAAACATTTGATTTGTTCTTTGTCCCTAACTCTGATGCATGAGGGGAGAGGAGAATGAAAGGAGTCTGACGTTGGAGCGCCCATGAGACAGATAAGAAGATAAATGGCTGTGCTGCAACAAGAGAGGGCTTGCGGATGAGAGGCTCACCAGGTCCTGCTCCCATTTGACAGGCCAGTACAGTTTTGTCTACAAACTCTTCTCCTATGTGTCTGCTGCTACTTAGTTGTACATACACACATTAATAGTGGGAACACATTTAGTTGGGTGTATATATTTGTTAGTGCTAGACAATAAGAGCAGTAGTTTTGTTGGTAAAAAGAAAGGCTTGGCAATAGAAATATTGCATAACCAGATTTATTAACCCAGTCTGTTAATGTTCACTTTTAATTCATAGATGATTGAACCAAAAAAATAGTAATTTACTTTTTTATCTTTGTGTAACCCTGGTTAGTTTTATAGTGCTGAGATATCTAAAACCCTTTGAATGCATCATAGTTCTTCTGTGTTGTAGTTGTTTCTCGCCTAGTTGTAAAATTTCCAAGTTTACCTGAACACATCACCTGCAGCTCCGGTGTGTGTGAGAACGTGGGTGACGAGAAAAAAACGGAAAAAAAGGGAGAAAAGTCATGCAGCCGCGGAGCAAAAGTGTCCTCGTTCAGCGGCCAGATATCATGATTTTGAGTTGTGAGAGAGTTGTGACAGAATTGTAGTTAGCAGAGAGCGTGAAGAGATACTCACCTGGTGAAACCGATCACGGGAGGGACTCAAACCGAGAGTTCTCCGTACTTTTCTGAACTATTCTGGTGAGTTAACGTTAGCTGCCTCGTTAGCTTGATTAGTGGTATCATTTTTGTTCGGTACAGGAAGAAAAAAAGCCAGTCAGAATAGTAAATACATGTTTAGTGGTGTCGAGACATGTTTTTGTGATGACATGATGATATGTTTTTATTGTGTGTTACTGTGACAAACAGCTAGTAGTTTACCGAGCAGTTAGCTCAGCTGCGGCTTGCTAACTAGGCCAAGCACGGCCGAGTATTTAATATTTTCTGTGTTTTGAGTTGTTTCATATTTCATGTAATAAGCTGCATTGGTTAATGTGCACTGGAAAAGTAAGCAGACAGCCATTTAAGCTGATAATAATTACGCTGCATATTATGCAGGCTGGTTTTTTTTGAGGACGAGTTCTTCTGTTCAACTGTGATCCACATCGTCCGCTGTTGCCCCGTGGAGGCTCTTGGTTCAACAACAAGCCGTATCACCCGCCATGCTGCAGGGAGGCTCTTGGTTCATCGGGACCAGTGTGGACATCGGTGTGGTATGGAAAGGTTCTGAGGAGTGACACATTTTGTTTGCACTTTTTTCTGAGATCTCAGTAATTTTTGGGGGTTTTTATTTTTATTTTTTCCTATTTTTTGGAAAGGAACGGAACTTAAAAAAACTGTTTTCTTCTTGGAGGACCCTGAAGGACAATAAAAAAACTAAGGACAATCAAACTCATTAAAAGGGAAAGAAACATTTTTTTTTTCTTTATCTTATCCTTATTATTTTCTATATTGGTACTTCCTGGTCAGCTGATTTCATTTTTTTATGTTGTGAATTTAAAAAAAAAAAACCCTGTACTTTATTTAACGGATGCAAGGCCGAATATTTTGAGTTGAAGAAAAAAACTGAAGATCTGAATATACTTTTTTGAAAAAAAACAGCATTCTGTGTCGTGTGCTTTGTGGGCTGGAGATCAACTGCTCTCGTGCTTCAGTGCTACTGCCAATCTCCTCACCCAAACCTAGTTGATCAGACAGAACCAGAGAAGACTGAGGAAAAGGTTACATACAAAAGTGGCGAGCCAGCCAGGAGATTGGTTTATAGTAGCTTTCTGATCTTCCACCCCACAATACACACCCTTGAGATTTAGACATTCATTTCATTGAGTCAGATATGGATATTTGTAACCGTTTTGAGGTTAATGGTCAGAACTCTCTATACGTAACTGGTATAGGATCAGATTACACAGATGAAGAAGTCAATACTGTGTTCAGAGTTAATGGAGACATTTCAAAAATAGTTAGGATCCCTGACGAGTCAGGACAACCAGAGGGCAGAGCCCTGATCCAGTACGCATCTGACAGGTCCATCTCTAGAATCGACCCCATTACCTTGGGTACCGTACCCAGCCCAAAGGATCCTGAAGTGTCGTGGTTTGCAAGAACCATTAGAGATGTTTGCCAGGAAGAGATGGGGAGGGAGATAGCTCGCAGATACCTGGGTGAGCTAGAGTCTGTTGCTGGCAGTGGCAGAGCAGGTTTCTTGAGTGTGCTTCAAGGGGAACTGCAGGGAACCCAGGGCACATCACACAATGTACACAGTAGTGTTACACAGCCACATGCAACTGAAAATGATAACACACGTAGTAGTCAAAATGAGCCTGCAGAGCCCACACAGGTTCATAGTGCATCTGCTAGTGTACCAGCCAGCCCAATCCACGTCAGTGAAAATGTTTTCAATCCCCCCCATATCCAGAAAGTGATTGTGGAGCATGTCATCCGCAGTGAGTCCATCACTTCATCATCCCCACAAATAAGGATGCGCACCTTCTCCGGACGAATGCCAAGGCCAAATGGTGAGGTGGATTATGAAACGTGGCGCACCCAAGTTGATCTTCTCCTTAACGATCCTTCCCTGAACGACGCTCACAAGGTGAGAAGGATTCTTGAGAGCTTGCTGAGTCCAGCAGCTGATGTCGTGAAGCCTCTTGGCATTTCTTCACCACCGAGCAGTTATGTCACTCAACTTGATTCTGCTTTTGGTGTTGTGGAGGATGGAGAGGAGTTGTTCGCTACATTTCTCAGCTCTAACCAAAACAATGGAGAGAAACCATCAGCATATCTGAACAGGCTCCACAGCCTCCTCACAAGGGCAATTTCTAGAGGGGGAGTCTCAGCTGAAAACTCCAATGATCACTTGCTCAGACAATTCTGTAGGGGCTGTTGGGATCAGAGCATCATCATAGGCCTACAGTTAGAGTGCAAAAGAAGCAACCCACCAACATTCCCAGAGTTCCTCCTCATGCTGAGAACTGAGGAAGACCGTCGTTCAGCAAAGCTAGATAGGATGAAAAAGCATTTGGGTACTTCAAAAGCTAACATGTATGCCCACCATGTTTTTGATATGCCCTCTTATGACTGTGAGCCTGTCCCATTGCCTAACATAAAACAAAATGAGACATCAAAGCTTGAAAAGAAAGTGAATGAACTAAGTAAACAGCTGGAAAAGCTAAGCAAAAAGCCACAGAGCCTCACTCATCATAGTATCCCTCCCCCAGTGGCAAAACCAAGGCAGAATGAAACCTCTGACATTGAGAACAAGATAGCTGAACTGACAAAACAAGTTGGAAAACTAGCACAGAATCAGAGAGAGAGTGAGGGTGCTCAAAAGAAAGACTGCCTCGTGATCAGTAGCAATAACACGAGGAGACCCTTCAAGGTGCCTGGGATGCCGAGGCCGTGGTTTTGTTTTAAGTGTGGGGAGGACAACCACATTGCTGCTCATTGCTCAAACGAACCCAACCCCACACTGGTTCGCAAGAAAAATGCGGAACTCAGGGAGAGGCAGGATAAGTTTTTTACTCAGCAGGTTGCTTCCCCATTTGCTTTAAACTAGCAGCAGCTCCTGCCATGGGACATCCAGGAGCTGTAGTCGAGGATAACCCCTGTCCCAACAAATCAGATGATGACGCGGAAACACAAAAGAAAGTTACAACACAGACAATGACTGAAACTGAATGTGGCACACAGCGGTCTATACCTCCGGGGACTTATAGGTCGTCGTTGTGCAGCTTCTGTCTTCCTTGAGGGTATACCATGTGAGTCCATCATGGACACCGGGTCACAAGTTACAACAGTGTCCGAGTGTTTCCACAAGAACCATCTTTCTCACTTACCGGTACATCCCATTCATGCTCTTCTTGAAATCGAGGGAGCTGGTGGACAGCAGGTTCCCTATCTTGGCTACATAGAAACTCGTGTCACTGTCCCCTTGTCCGTTCCTGGCAGGGAAGAGGAGCTAGTTGCATTAGCACTTGTGGTGCCAGAGTGTCAGTTCAACAGCAGGACCCCACTGTTAATTGGTACCAATGTGTTATTCTCACTCTATGAACAAGTGCTTGAACAAGATGGCCCTGAGTTCATTCGCAAACTCACCTCCAAAGACCTTGCGGTGATCTTCCAGCACATTGCCCGGATCCATGACCTTGACAACCATGCACATCCTGTCAGGTTACATGGTGGAAAGCCCATCACCATCCTAGCAAAACAAAAATGCTGCGTTACAGGTGATGTCAGGCTGAAAAAGAACAATCAAACCACATTCGTGCTCGAACCCAACGAACGTCATGGGTTACCAGGTGGCGTGTTCATTGAGGCTGCGCTAATAGACATTCCCTTTAAATCTAGCAGCAAGGTCCCTGTTGTCCTGCGTAACCTAAGTGACCACGATGTTACGCTGCAGCCGAAATGCATCATTGCTCAAATGTGTGCAGCTCAGCAGGTCACAAAGCTTGGACCAGAGCAAGGTGACTCTCGTTACAACCAACCTGACAGTGACAACCTCAAGTTCAATCTTGATGATTCGCCAATATCTGGACAATGGAGAGATCGTATCATCACCAAGCTGAGATCCATTTCAGAAGTCTTTGCTGTGGATGACCTGTCATATGGTCACACCACTACTGTGAGACATCACATCAGACTACACGATGAGACCCCTTTTAAGGAGAGGCCGAGGCCTATTCATCCCAGCGACAGGGAGGCAGTTAAGCAACATCTTAAAGAATTGCTTGACGCAGGAATCATTAAAGAGTCACAGAGCCCTTTCGCGTCGCCAGTGGTCTTGGTCCGAAAAAAGAATGGCTCAATCAGACTATGCATTGACTACAGGAAGCTAAATGCTCGAACAATCAGAGATGCATATGCTCTTCCGAACATTGAGGAGGCATTTACGGCCCTCAGCGGTGCTAAATGGTTCTCCGTCATGGACCTTAAATCTGGTTATTACCAGGTCGAGGTGGCTGAAGAAGATAAGCCTAAAACCGCTTTCACGTGTCCCCTAGGCTTCTTCGAATTCAATCGCATGCCACAGGGTGTCACGAACGCACCAAGCACCTTTCAGCGCCTCATGGAGAAGTGTGTCGGCGACTTGCACCTTAATGAGGTCTTGGTGTTTCTGGATGACTTGATTGTCTTTTCAGACACATTGGAAGAACACGAAGCACGGCTCATGAAAGTGCTGAACCGTCTGAAAGACTATGGTCTAAAGCTGTCTCCAGAAAAATGTCACTTCTTTAAAACATCGGTGAAGTATCTTGGTCACGTGGTTGATGAGCAGGGAGTTCATACTGACCCTGAAAAGATATCTGCTTTGAGAGATTGGCCTCGTCCTTCAAATAGGAAAGAGCTAAAATGTTTTTTAGGCTTTGCTGGGTATTATCGGCGGTTCGTCGAGGGATATTCTCATATAGCCAAACCTCTGAATTGCCTGACAGCAGGCTACTACCCACCGAAGAAGAGAGGCAAAGTGTACAAGAGGGAGCGCTCCACACCTCTTGTGAGCCCTAATGCACCGCTTGGTGAGGAGTGGACTCCCGAGTGTGAGAATGCATTCAGAACTCTGATCGAGAAATTGACGTCAGCGCCCATCCTTGCCTTTGCGAATCCACAACTGCCATATGTTGTACATACGGATGCTTGTCGTGACGGGTTGGGGGCTGCGCTCTACCAAGAGCAGGAGGGGAAGCTTAGAGTTGTTGCGTACGCCAGTAGAGGTCTGTCCAAGAGCGAGAGAAACTATCCCACTCACAAGCTCGAATTCTTGGCCTTAAAGTGGTCTGTTTGCGAGAAGTTCAATGATTACCTTTATGGTTCAACTTTCACTGTACTCACCGACAACAACCCCCTCACGTACGTTTTGACCTCTGCAAAGTTAGACGCTGCTGGTCATCGCTGGTTAGCCGCTCTTTCTACTTACCAGTTTACCATCAAGTACCGAGCAGGACAGGCCAACCGCGATGCAGACGGGTTGTCCCGGCGGCCTCAAGGTCCGCCTCTTGAGGATGAAGCTTTCACAAAAGAGAGAGAGAGGATAGAGGACATGAAAAAAACGTCTCACGGAGACAAGAGATGACATGGATCACGAAGTGTTCTCTGCATTATGTCAGCGTCATCTTGTGATGTTTAAAGGTGACGAACCCCATCATTCAGAGCAACCTATCGTTGCAGAGTCTCTTGTTGTCGACCCTTCTATAGTGCCTGATGTTTTTGGTGAGGACACTTTGCCATCCATGACTAACTCTGACTGGTGTAATGCTCAAAATAATGATCGTTCCATCTCACGTGTCATTACTTTTGTGAGGAGAGCTGTAAAACCCAGTTTCGGAGAGACAAGCCTTGAACATCCTGATGTCAAACTTCTTCTCAGGGAATGGAAAAATCTTGAACTCAGGGATGATGTCCTGTACAGGAAGTGGTCTGAACGAGGTGATCTTGTTTACCAGTTGGTCTTACCTGAGCAGTTCAGAGAGAGAGCACTACAGGGAGTGCATGATGATGTTGGCCACCTTGGTTCTGAGCGCGCACTTCATCTTGCTCGTGCCAGGTTCTACTGGCCAAAGATGGCCAGAGACATTGAGGAGAAGTGTAAAAGGTGCGAACGCTGTTTCAGGAGGAAGGCTGTGCCTCAAAAGGCTGCACCTCTAGAGAACATTTCCGCTACTTACCCGCTCGAACTTCTTTGTATGGATTATTTATCCCTCGAGCCAGATAACAGAGACACAAGAAACATTCTAGTCATCACTGACCATTTCACAAAATTTGCTGTGGCAGTGCCGACTAGGGATCAGAAAGCCAAAACTGTTGCAAAGGCTTTATGGGAAAACTTCATTGTTCACTACGGGTTCCCCAGTCGTCTACTCAGCGATCAGGGCAGAGACTTTGAATCTAAGACAATCAGAGAACTCTGCACACTGATAGGAGCAGACAAAGTCCGTACCACCCCTTACCATCCCCGGGGAAACCCGGTGGAACGGTTTAACCGGACTCTCCTTGGTATGCTAGGGACCCTGGAAGAGAGAGACAAATACCATTGGAGAGATTTTGTCAAGCCCTTGGTCCATGCATACAATTGCACGCGGCATGACACAACAGGCTATTCGCCTTATGAACTAATGTTTGGTCGGCAGCCCAGATTGCCAATTGACCTTGTCCTGGGAATCCACCCTGATGCGGGGAACCACCAGACCCACTCAGAGTATGTCAAAGGCCTTCGTCAACGCCTACAAGAGAGCTACTCATTAGCTGCAAAAAACTCTCAGAAGATGGGAGGGAAGAACAAGGCTAGGTTTGACAAGAAGGTCAGGGCAGCTGAACTCTCAGAGGGCGATAGGGTCTTGGTGAGAAACGTGAATATCAGGGGGAAACACAAACTAGCCGATCGGTGGGAACAGAAAATCCATGTTGTTGTCAGACGGATAAGAGAGAGTCCCGTATATGTAGTCAAACCTGAAACAAGGGAGGGGCCGCAACGCACATTGCATAGAGATCTTCTTTTGCCGTGCGGGTTTCTACCTGTAACAGAGATCGCAGAGCACAGTTCTCCCACTGACACGTCAAAGAAAATGAAACTGAGAGACAAAACAACAAAAGACACGCAAGGGGACACTGATTGTCAGGAGGATGAGTCGTACGGTGATGAGGATGAATTGTATCCTTGCTCATGGGTGCCAGAAATCATCACTAGGGGTCCCTTCCTGCAGAGGGAAGGGGGCTTCAGTGAGCCTCAACCAGCTTTTAGGGTATTAAACCCAGACACCCCTTCTTTTGTGCCCCAAAGCCCAACACACTTACCTGAGAGACCTACCCACGAGCTTCAACCAGAAACTCCTCTTGTCAGCTCTGAGAGAAGTGTTTCAGTTACACCTCCTACTTCACACTGTAGAGCCCCAGACCACGTTGTTATTGACATTCCAGAACCCAACATGACACTCATCTCACCTGTGAGGGAGACCACAGATCTCATCCCCACAGATCCTGTAGGTGCAGACACTGACAACGTAGCGTCTGAGAGTCTAGAGTCTGAGAACACAAGTGTCAGGCGTTCTGTTAGGGAGAGACGTCCGCCCCGGAAGCTCACTTATGATGAGTTGGGGGAGCCTTTGACCTTGGCCATCAGTTCGTTCTTTGAGGCTTTAGGAGCTGCCATTTCACACATATCTGTACCTGTAGGGGCAGGTGTGCATGCAGGGACTCATGCAGTCTAGAGGGGGAGAGTGTAACCCTGGTTAGTTTTATAGTGCTGAGATATCTAAAACCCTTTGAATGCATCATAGTTCTTCTGTGTTGTAGTTGTTTCTCGCCTAGTTGTAAAATTTCCAAGTTTACCTGAACACATCACCTGCAGCTCCGGTGTGTGTGAGAACGTGGGTGACGAGAAAAAAACGGAAAAAAAGGGAGAAAAGTCATGCAGCCGCGGAGCAAAAGTGTCCTCGTTCAGCGGCCAGATATCATGATTTTGAGTTGTGAGAGAGTTGTGACAGAATTGTAGTTAGCAGAGAGCGTGAAGAGATACTCACCTGGTGAAACCGATCACGGGAGGGACTCAAACCGAGAGTTTCTCCGTACTTTTCTGAACTATTCTGGTGAGTTAACGTTAGCTGCCTCGTTAGCTTGATTAGTGGTATCATTTTTGTTCGGTACAGGAAGAAAAAAAAGCCAGTCAGAATAGTAAATACATGTTTAGTGGTGTCGAGACATGTTTTTGTGATGACATGATGATATGTTTTTATTGTGTGTTACTGTGACAAACAGCTAGTAGTTTACCGAGCAGTTAGCTCAGCTGCGGCTTGCTAACTAGGCCAAGCACGGCCGAGTATTTCATATTTTCTGTGTTTTGAGTTGTTTCATATTTCATGTAATAAGCTGCATTGGTTAATGTGCACTGGAAAAGTAAGCAGACAGCCATTTAAGCTGATAATAATTACGCTGCATATTATGCAGGCTGGTTTTTTTTTGAGGACGAGTTCTTCTGTTCAACTGTGATCCACATCGTCCGCTGTTGCCCCGTGGAGGCTCTTGGTTCAACAACAAGCCGTATCACCCGCCATGCTGCAGGGAGGCTCTTGGTTCATCGGGACCAGTGTGGACATCGGTGTGGTATGGAAAGGTTCTGAGGAGTGACACATTTTGTTTGCACTTTTTTCTGAGATCTCAGTAATTTTTGGGGGTTTTTATTTTTATTTTTTCCTATTTTTTGGAAAGGAACGGAACTTAAAAAAACTGTTTTCTTCTTGGAGGACCCTGAAGGACAATAAAAAAACTAAGGACAATCAAACTCATTAAAAGGGAAAGAAACATTTTTTTTTTTCTTTATCTTATCCTTATTATTTTCTATATTGGTACTTCCTGGTCAGCTGATTTCATTTTTTTATGTTGTGAATTTAAAAAAAAACCCTGTACTTTATTTAACGGATGCAAGGCCGAATATTTTGAGTTGAAGAAAAAAACTGAAGATCTGAATATACTTTTTTGAAAAAAAACAGCATTCTGTGTCGTGTGCTTTGTGGGCTGGAGATCAACTGCTCTCGTGCTTCAGTGCTACTGCCAATCTCCTCACCCAAACCTAGTTGATCAGACAGAACCAGAGAAGACTGAGGAAAAGGTTACATTACATTACAACCAAAAAAATAGTAATTTACTTTTTTATCTTTGGATTTACTGAGAAAACTGTTCTGCTCACAGCTGTGGTCAATTTACTCATGTTGTATTTTATTTGTCATTTCATTTTAGAGAGGAGATGAAACCAGACCAGATGATAGCAGACCAGACCAGAGAGGAGCTGAGGGGGCAGCCTGCATCACAAACTATCTTCAAAAGAAAGGTACGTTTTTTTTTTTAAATTCCACCTTATTTACTGGTAACTGTTACATTATTTTACAAGTATCTGAAAATTTTAATTAACCTTCCCTTTTTTTCTTTCCAAGTTATTTGTCTGTTATAGAAATGAAACAAGCCTAGACCAAACTGGAGAAGACCAGAGTGGACCAGATGATAGCAGACCAGACCAGAGGGGAGCTGAGGGGACAGCCTGCATCGCAAACCATCTTTAAAAAAAAGATTCATTAACTTTATTCTAATATATTATCCTTATATATTTCTGGATGTATTTTTAAATTTAGGATTCAAATGTTAGTATTTAAGGTTAAGTAATGCTTCTACTATTACAATTACTTATACTTTTACTCTGGAATTTATTTGTGTGTCATATAGTGGAGAAGACAGAAACCAGACTAGACCAGAGACCAAGACTGGAGAACAGAGTGGAGACCAGATGAGTCCAGACCAGAGAAGAGCTGAGGGGGCAGCCGACATCGCAAACTGACAAAAAAAAAAAGATAAATATATTTTATCCTTAATTTCATCCCCAATTGTTTCACTGTAAAATTGTTTCAGTCGGAGTCTTCAGTGGTGTTATAACTTTTCTTTTTCCTCTTATGTGATTTGTCTTGTACAGAGAAGACAGAAAACCAGTCCAGACCAGATACCAGCTGAGGGGGCAGCATACCTTACAAGCCATCTTTAAAAAATAACGTACGTTTTTCCCATGCCATATTTTTTTGTTTGTTTTGATCAAAATTACTTCCCTGTAAATATTATTATTTCAAAATTGTCTTCACTTGTTAACTTTTTTGTCGCCCACATCATTTTTCCTTTACAGAAAGGAAACAAGTCTAGACCAGACTGGAGGTGTATAGATGATGTCTGAAATCAGCGTGTTCGTTTTTGTGGTCAGTTGGAGTGGAACATGAAGCTGTGGTGGCCTCACTGTGAAGCTCTCATCGCCTACCTGATGACCTACAGTCACACTATGAGACCAGAGCTGCTGGAGAGATTCTCTCAGGTGTATGAGTACACCTTCAGTCACGTGAGTTATTACTGAGGGAAACGTACCCGAGGAAAAATCTCATGCTACACCTCTGAAGTGTTTAATGTCAACAAATGACCGTCACGATGACTTGTAACTTATGAAGCCTCACTTAAGAAGCACTGAAATATTCCTTTAATGTTCATATTGTAGAAACATTGGGTAGAATAGAAAAGAAAAGAAGTTGTAGAGAAGAAAAAAGATGTTAAAATAGACGAAAAAGAGATGCCAAAAATAGAATAGCAGAGACTAGTAATGGGAGTGTGCTAAATAACCGTGCAAGATTAACGAAGACAGGGCCCATATCTACTTAACGGTAAGACAATGTGTAAATTAGTGACTACTGTGAACGTCTAGCTCAAAAAGGATAGTCGAATTCGGGGCGTGGAAAGAAAAAGTGAGGAGTAAAACCCGGAGCCCAGGGTAATTGGCAAATAAATGATGAAAAGAGATAAAGAGTAAAAGAGACAAAGTGAAAAAGAGAAAAAGGCTGAGATGGCCGAAAAAGAGAAAAAGTTAACTTAATGTTAGGGAAGATGCGATTGGGCATACAAACCGGTAAGGACAGTTTAAAGAAGGAAAAAAAGGCCTATATACTATAGTAAGGAAACACTGAGCTCAGTGAGAAGAGGTGTGCTGAAATTTGAGTGTGTGCGAGAAGCCTCTGGTGTGTGTGTGTGTGTGTGTGAGAGGAGTGTGTGTATGGGTGCTGAGCTGTGAGTGTGAGTGCAAAAGAGTCTGTGTGCAGTGAGTGGTGTGTACACAAAGTTGGGGAATGATCTAGCATAGGTTTAAGTGATTAACTTATGATAAAGTGATAAATGATGTCTTGTTAAATATATAATGATATGATATAAGAAATTAACATATAAGGGAAGAGATACTGATGCCTTTGTAGTGCTAAAAAAAACATATGAGCCCTGGTTTCTTTGTACAGGGACGTTAATAGAATAAGAAACTGCTATGAGCCTCTCAGGATAAAGAGGACGTTTGTACACCTAATAGTAAGAAATGAGCCCCTTATTAGATGAGGAGGACTTTGGATGGTGATAACATCCTTGACTAATATTGCAATTAAAGAAGTGTACACAAGCACATTTTTGTTCATACAGATACAGGAAAAAACAGAGTGAAAGATTGGAATGATTTGCTGACTGATGGGTGTGGTTTTCCTCTGTGTGTGTGTGAATATTTAAAGTGAATGGTCACTTGCTGATGATCATGTTTAGAGGGAAGTCCTAGTTAAAAATTGGAAAAATCCAGGGAGCTTTCTCTCCCTCTTTCTTTCTCTTCTTACAGGCCTGAGAACAGAAAGAAAGCTAAAAAATCTAGTTTAACTATCCTAGATGTGTGAAAATTTTAAATGGTATACCATGATCAGGGGAATGGGGTATAATAAATTTAGGTAGTCTTATGGTAGAAGAAATCTTTAAATAGTGGTAGTAAACGTTTTAAATTGTGTTGAATGAAGTGATTGTAATGTACTAAACATTTGATTTGTTCTTTGTCCCTAACTCTGATGCATGAGAGGGGAGAGGAGAATGAAAGGAGTCTGACGTTGGAGCGCCCATGAGACAGATAAGAAGATAATTGGCTGTGCTGCAAACAAGAGGGGGCTTGCGGATGAGAGGCTCACCAGGTCCTGCTCCCATTTGACAGGCCAGTACAGTTTTGTCTACAAACTCTTCTCCTATGTGTCTTCTGCTACTTAGTTGTACATACACACATTTATAGTGGGAACACATTTAGTTGGGTGTATATATTTGTTAGTGCTAGACAATAAGAGCAGTAGTTTTGTTGGTAAAAAGAAAGGCTTGGCAATAGACTGACCAGTTGAAAGGGCTGATTAAGTACCGTAGTATTGTTGAATTAAAAGAGCATTTCCAAGAGGTCTAAATTTTGCTGAAACGTGTGAATGTGGTTTGTCTTTGCTGCTTGGTAAAATCACACAGATTGATCTTATTTGGGTGTTGATAAGTTTTAGGTCTCAGGGGAGGCTTCATGAGAAGCACTAGGGGACAATCGCGCCCACCCAGAGGACCTGTAAACCCTGATAGGGGGCCAGAACCTGGATTTTAGGGGTGCCCAGAAGACCTAAAAGGGGGTGTCAGCTGGTAGTGTCAGGGCCAGAACAAGAGCCAACCATTGAGGTGAAAGTTAACGATAAACCATTGACAGTTATGGTAGATTGCGGAGCTGCTTTCACCTGTGTTAGGCCCAAAGATGCTATACATCTCCCCGTGTCTGGCCAATTGGTACGGACAATAGGTTTTGAGGGTGTGGAACAGCTGATACCTCTTACAGAACTCGTTGAGCTCTGCTATAAAAATCAAAAGACCACAATACCGATACTAGTGTCAGAACAAACACCTATTGCACTTTTGGGCAGAGATGCTTTGTGTAGGTTGAAGTGCACAATACGATGCACACCAGACGGCTGTCTGGTGGATGTACCAAGTGATAGTTGGCAACAACTATTTATGAAAACAGAGACTGAAGCGTCTGCAGTGTTTTGGATTGGGAACCTTAGCCAGGAGTATCTAGAGGCAGCAAAGCTGTGGGAGAAATTTATTGTGGCCAATATGACTGAGGTGAAGTTACCTGAGTATCCATACCACTGTACACTGATGTATTTTAAAGATGCTACACAGACCAACTCAGCAGACTGGTTGAAGCAACAACCAGAACAAGTCCAGTTTAGCTCCAGTTCAATAATTTGGGGCCACAAGGAGCAACTATGAAGATAGAGAGTAATGAATATCTTGAAAAAGAACATGACGTCGAGGAAAGCATTCCTCACGTGACTGAAGGAATCAGAGAGATATTCAAAACTACGGTCAGACTTGCAAGCCCTTCCACTTCAGAAAGCAGATGTAGAGTATTGGACTGATGGGTCGTGTTATCAGATTGGACACAAATTGAGCGCTGGCTATGCAGTTGTAAAAGCTGAAGGGGATGGATTTGTTGTTGAAAAGGCAAAAACAGTGCAACAACCAGCATCTACACAGCTGGTTGAACTTGTAGGACTAACTGAGGCATGTCTTTTGGCAGAAGGGAAACGAGTGACAATTTACACAGACTCTGCATATGCACATAATGTTTGTCACTTGTTCGGAGCACTGTGGAAAAATCGAGGATTTAAGAAAACAGATGGGTCTCCTATACAGCATCATGCCTAGATAACCAAATTGCTGCATGCAATGATGAAGCCGAACGAAATAGCAATAGCTAAGTGTGCAGCACATAAAGGGGACATGTCAAGAGTGACTCAGGGCAACAGAGCAGCTGATGAGGTTGCAAAAGCTGTTCCAGGGGCAGATAAAGAAGGCAAAGTTCTTCTGGTCACTCATGAAGTAGACTTGGAAGATAAAATCACCCTCAAAGACATAGTCTCAATGCAAAAAGCGGCCTCTGAAATAGACAAACAGTTATGGCGTGACCGAGGTGCAACACAGGATGCCACAGGTTTGTGGAGGAATCATGAAGGGCTGATGGTGGCACCTCCAAACCTTCTTAGATTAATGATTCAGGAGGCACATGGGTTAGCACATGTTGCAAGGGGGGAAGTTAAAAGAAACATCATAAAGGAGTAGGTTTCTGGACACCACATTTGCATGAGCAAATTGATTTATCATAAGTAGATGTACAATTTGTCTAAAAAATAATTTTTGAAAGTGTAACAGTTGAAGCTTGTCTAAACAAGCGAAAAGATGCTCAGTATGTTGCCAAGTTCTTGTGTAGAGAAGTCATAAGCAGATGGGGACTTTAAGATTAAATATTCAAAGATAATGGAGAAGAGTTTGTGGATAAAACAGTGAAATTGATTTGAAAAAACTAACAATTGAACAATGTTTGGGAGCTGTGTACCATCCGCAAAGCCAAGGTATCTGTGAAAAAAAAAATGAATGGGGTGATGAAAAAACCCTCTGGGTAAGATTGGCCGGCACACAGGTTTACATTTTGATGAAGTAAAGGGGAGGTATTACTTAGGGGGAAATATGATAAACATGTCAAAAATGTATGTTTTTGGCAAGATACTGCTTAATTTTTTCATTCTCAGGACAGCAGTTGGGGAGACCAGCTAAAGAAAGGTGGTTCTCCAGAGATCTAAACAGCCTTAATGGACCCACACCTCCCAACAAAGACAATCAAGCATGGACAATATAAACAGAAACTGAAACCTGACAGAGGTGTGAACAAGAACATTGCATTGGATACACAAACGGAGAACACCCATGGACAAGAACACTACACAAGCAGCCAAAGATGTTAAGAAGCAAAAATTATTATTCATTTTAATCATAGAGTTTGTTAATGTATAATCTATGCTATGAATGTCAATTTATCTTTCTGTGTTGTATTTTAATGTTCATGCTAATACCAAACAGCATAGGAAGAATGGAAAGTATGAAAGGGGGGTTAGTTATTCACAGCATGAGTTGTAAAGTGAATGTATTGGGATCTCAGGTGGTTTCTTTGTTTTCTCGTTGTAGGATCAGTGGTGTTAGGCAGGGATAGGTCCACTGGAAGTTCGATGGGATGACCAGACACAACATTTTCTTTTAAAATTTATAATAAAACTGTCCTAGTATTATTATTTTCTGTTCTGTTTAAGATGACTTGTATTTTTTACTGTCTACTGAAAATAAACTATAGATACATTTCTCTCAGCCTCACGAGTAGAAAAACAAAGATTATCTTGATGTAGTTTTTTGTCTGTCCTTGCAGTCCTGTTTAATTTACATTCTGCCCTGTTGGTTAAGAGTTGCGATCATCTTCTTGTCTTCAGGTTTCTTTCACGTCCCTCGCTGCCTCTACATGTGTGAGCGTCTGCTGGATGATCTTCTGGGAAATGAGGACTAAAAACATAATAAATGTTATAAAGTGAGATTAAATCTGATCTCCTGGTCTGTTCCAGATTAAAGAGTCATGTTATAAAGTGAGATTGCACTGATTGTCCAATATATAGAAGCCTTATGCAGACATGCACCTCCTGAATAATCCTGCAATAAATTATTCTGTGTTGTTTTGTCAAGATCATATTTTTCTAGTAATCTGGGAATAAAAAGTTTATTTTCTTGTGGGAACGATTTTCAGGCGATCTTGAGATTAAAACAACAAACCACAACATGACCTGCTGCCACCAGTCACAGTTACATGTTAAACCCAGAGACTTTTTACTAAAATGGACGCTATAAGTGTTTACAGACTGTGAAGTCTGAATATTCAGGGCTCCCCCTACTGGCTGTCTGCAGAATAGGTCATAAGGCCCGCCTCCTTAATGTTACCAGAGATGTTTGTTGTCATTATAGCTATGAAGATTTATGTCCAAGTGCTTACTTTTCTGAGAAGATTAGTTTGAAGTTGTTATTTGATTTCAAAATATATTATAATATATATATAATATATATTTTTTTTTGAATGGGTTAATAATTATGGGTTATTTTTCTGAGAGTAACCCAATAATTGGGTCAGAATGTAGGGTTGGATTGACTCTACATGGTTTCTAGGCCTAATGGCAATTAAAGTGACCCGTTGACCTTATGAACTTTGACCTTGATTTTATATACAATATGATATATACATATATATTATACATGTATACACATATATATACCAGTTCCTGCATGAGACACATCTGTAAGCAGCGATCTACATCTACCAGTGTGGGTCCTTAAGCAAGACCCTTGGCACTATTGCCTACCTCATGAGTGCGTTACCATTGAAAGCCAAACCGGCTCAGACCTCGCCTGGGTTAACAAGGTCTACGTCACATGCTGAGGAACCAGGGCATTGTGAAGAGAAATGGGCTACTGGAACAACAAAGAGAAGGCAATGGACATGAGATGAGAACAAGAGTCTGTTGGCATGCTACTACTCAAGTAACCCAAACCAGTGGGGTTACATATACAGAGAGCAACCAGATAAGGTTCTTAAAGACTGCAATGAGGAACTCTAAATTGTAAAAAAGAAGAGAAAAAAAATAATTAATGAAGGGGTGGGGTAGGTTTAATACAGTTTTACGTTTTAAGAATTGGTATAAAAGTACATGGGAAAATAGGGTACAGGTTGTAAAAGCAAAGCTCCAAAAAAAGCTCCCCAAATGCATATCAATTTAACCCAAGATCATAAGTCAAATTAACTCAAAGATTGGGTTAATTTGACCTTCAAAAATAGTTATTGAGTCAACCCAAAATTTGGGTTAATTTGAAAAACCCAACATTCGAGGTCAAAATAACCCAATAAGTAGTTGGTCCCTTTTCAACCCAAGTTGGGTTGTTTTAAACCCAGGGGTTTTTAGAGTGTAACAAGAACAGTCGCTGAATGTTCAATAACTGCAAGCATCAGCTTCAAACCCACGCAAGAACCAGTTCTGCTGTGGACTAGACCCACCCTAGAGAGTGTAGATGGTTAACCACCGAGTTAAATGTGTGTTTATCTAAGTGGAAGAGGTGTGACCTGAAGGGTAGCATGCTTGGGCCTCCTAGCACTGTATTTGCGATCCCAAAATCCTCATTCCCTGATCAACCTGAATGTAAGACAGGGATTTTTTTTTAACAAATTATGTATTCTTTAAAAAAGCGGGACTTTGGGGGGGGGGGGGGGGGGGGTTAGCAATTAAACACCAACATTCATTACAAAAGTGGATAGCATTGCTTTTTGGAACCCCTAATGGCTGAGACTGGTCATCTCACTATGTCAGAGAGGTGAAAGATGAGGAGACATATATTCAGAGGACATGCTTTCTGAGTTTTTTTGAGGTGCAAATCTCCAGGAATTAAGACTTATTGTTACCTGAAGCTGCTCATCACGCTAAACAGAGCTGATATCTTTGATTCGAAATAAACTGTTAACCCTAAAGACTCCTCCCTCTCATTAAACAATTACCACTGTTTTTATACCAAAATGTGCCTTTTACATGCACACTGACAGCGTTTTAGGGCAATAATACAGTTTATTCAGTAACTCTGCCATACTATGAATTTTGTAAGGGAACATTTGAAGCTGCATCCGCCTTGATGTTACCGACTATGAACTGCTGAACCTGTAGATGTTCTACCTGTGGGCTGATACCTAACAGCCAGTTTTATCTGTGACATGATGGATGCCGTTTGATAATTATATTGGGCTTATTTTGTCATTAATCAGTATATAACACTGAATTCTAAACATGTCGGTTAACTGTATTTTTTTTTTTACCTTTTGTAAAGCCTGTGCTCCCAAAAGCAGAATTGTACGAGTGTGTGGACTGAATCTTTGTTTTTGATGCTGTTTGAGGACTCTGCTGTGTTTGTTTCCTCTAAAACCTCTCTGACTGACTGACTGACTGACTCTCTGATTCATTGATACATGCACTATAATGAGTGGGCGGGGCTTATCCCACTCAGCTGATTGGAGGACAGAGGAAGACATTTGTCCCTGCATTTGAGCTTTGGAGGTAAAAAAAAACAAAAAACAACAACTGAGCAACAGCTGATACAGAAATTTGTTGTCAGTTTGACACTAAGGGGTTCTGCCCTGAGGAAAAAAAAAAACACTCTTAGGCCCGAACTACACGAACGCGGATATTTATTTATCTGGATATTTTTGTACTCCCGTCTAAATAAATGTATCTGTCCACACGTGTTAGTTCAAAAAAATATCTGCGTCCACACGTAGCCTTCAAACTCAATCCTATCTGGTGCAACTTAAAAAAAATTCAGGAACAAAGCTACCTGATTGGCTGATGAATCGTAACAGCGTCATGTGTCATGCATTGTTTACGGAAGCTACGCTAGTGCGTCGGGTCCATTTGACGGTGTGGCGGCTATAACAAACTTAGAAAGAAAGAGACATGGCAGGGAAGAATGCAAGTAAAGAGAAAAATTCCTTCGTCTGGACAGATGATGAAGTCGAACTTGTCCTTAATGTTACATTAAACTACAAGACCACCAAAGCCCAGGAAAGCGTAGACTGGGAGTCTGTGTACACGAAGTACATGGACATAACCGATGAGTTTGGAACAATATCCTGAGAAGAAGGAAGCTGAGAAAGTGGGTAAGGTGTAAATCCAGAGGGAAACTGCAGCAAATGCCACATGAATTCACTGTTAAACTGATCTGCAAGCAATTAACATAACAGCTCCATTCCTGACGAAGAACAGTTCTGTGATTTTGTCGCATGATGAATGGTGTAAACTGAGGAAGCATTTGAAAAGTAAGCTAGCAGAGGATGGTTTCGATCCATCGACCTCTGGGTTATGGGCCCAGCACGCTTCCGCTGCGCCACTCTGCTGCAAATCACCCCAGATGGGACTCGAACCCACAATCCCTGGCTTAGGAGGCCAGTGCCTTATCCATTAGGCCACTGGGGCTTCACAGGCCACAGAGTGACTTGTTTTGTCCACACTCAGTGAGCTACACTACGGAGCAACAATGCAGGGAGCTAAATGGCTGAGTTCAAAATACACACCAACTGCCTGTGAGGCTATTGTGGCAGAAACAGACAACTATTGTGGTCTTGCCTGAGCACAAAGATGCGGCCCAAGCTCATGTGTCATACTGATGTCAGCACACAAACGATTTCGCCCTGCTCTGAGTTTTGGTATTCACCCTCTATCCTGACATTTTTAGTGAGCGGGTTACTTTCCAAAAACTTCAGCACTCAAAGGCACACATAACACTTGTGAACTCAGGGCTATCTGTCTTTCCCGATGATGTCAAAAAGTACATTTTAATTTCACACCGTGATGGGGGCAACAACAGAGTTGTTTGTTGCCTCACAAGGAAACCATCTACAAAAGGGGACCAGAAAGTAAATTTTCATGTGTGAGAGTCAGAAAGAATACAAATCAATTTTGCCTTCAAATTTTTTGGTCAAGATGGCCCTCACTCATCCTGAGCCCCAGCATTGCTTGACTCCCTGGACTTCACATGGGGCCACTGGGGCTTCACAGAGGAAGAGCTGGCTTGTTCTATCCTCACTGAGGCCCGAACTACACGAATGCGGATATATTTCAAACCGCACATATTTATGTCTGATTAGGCCTCCCTACCACACCAAAACGGGAGTTTGGAGCGCTCAAGTCGGATAAATCTGAATCCGGAAAAACAAGTGGAGAAATAAAAAAATATCTGTATCCCGTATCCGTAGTGGATTTGTGTGGTTGGACTTTTACGGATTGATGACGTCAAATCGCAGCTCGCGCATGCGCATTAAAAAGAAAGACAACAACAACAACGATGGCGGACTGACAGGGTATTCTTTACGTTTGTTTTGCCCTTTTGGGGCTAATTTCAGCCTTGCAAGTGAACCTTGTTTTATACAATAACATCCACCAGTCAGCCAGCTCACAGACGCGTTTGCTGCGGCCAATCCTTTTATTGGTCACATGGTCCGTCATATGGATCCGACGCACTAGCGTAGCTTCCGCAAACAATGCATGACGCATCACGCTGTTACGATTCATCAGCCAATCAGGTAGCTTTGTTCCTGAATTTTTTTTTAAGCGGCACCAGATAGGAATGAGTTTGAAGGCTACGTGTGGACGCAGATATTTTTGAGAACTAACACGTGTGGACAGATACATTTATTTAGACGGGAGTACAAAAATATCCTGATAAATAAATATCTATATACATGTAGTTCGGGCCTTAGCTGTCTGTCTGAACAGCTTCATACTGTCTCCTGTGTGTGTCTGTGTTGTGTGCGCGCGTGCTTGTGTATGTGTGTGTGTTTCTATCCAGCACAGCCTTGGATAGAAACACACAAATACGTGAGTTTCCTTGTGTTTTTTGTTAAATGTCTGTTTTCAGTGTTTTAGCCTCAGTTTATGTGATGATCAGAAACTGCAGAGAGGTCCTACACTTGAGCTAGCCAACAGTTTTCAGCAGACGGGGCCACTCTGACCAGAACTGGAGCTAAAAAGCTGAATGTTAGATCGTCTCAGTGTTTTCACAGCAGATTGACAAACCCACAGACCACAGGATCTGTTCACCTGATCAGGATACTCCAAGTTAACTGCTGAAGCTGAAACAACCAACTTTACACACACCACTGGGTCTGCAGGACGATCTGAGGCTTTATGAACATGAAGAAAGACAAAGGAGCAGAGATGAAGAAACGTCTCCTTAAAGATCTGGTCAGATGATCACACTGCAGAAAAACTAAAGAGCTCTCTGATCTGACTTGATTTCTATTTTCTCTGAAACTTTACCCCAAATAAAAAAAACTGAGTGTTTCTGAGACATAAGCAGAGAGTTCACTGAGTAAAAACAAAAAAAAACTCATCAGGATTCATGTCACTATTCAAACGATTGAAGAGAGTCACAGCAGGACGAACAGACTGAAGCTCTGCAGGTACTCAGTGTGAAAAGACTCTCTCCTTGTTCCCCCTCTCCTTGTTCGCTTTCTCCTTGTTCTCTTTCTCCTTGATCCCTCTCTCCTTGTTCTCTTTCAGCTTGTTCCCTTTCAGCTTGTTCCCTCTTCCCTTGTTCCCTCTCTCCTTGTTCCCTTGCTCCCTGTTCGCTCTCCTTGTTTTCTCTCTCCTTGTTCCCACTCTCCTTGTTCCCTCTCTCCTTGTTCTGTCTTCCCTTATCCCTCTGTCTTTGTTCCCTCTCTCCTTGTTCCCTTTTCTCTTTGTTCCCTCTCTCCTTGCTCCCTCTCTCCCCTAGTTCTCTCTCTCCTTGTTCCCTCTTCTCTTTGTTCCCTCTCTCCTTGTTTTATTTGTTTTAACTCTGTGGTACCTATAGGAACACCAGAGACACAAGAGAGACACTCTCTTTGGTAATTATTTAAGGCCTTTTTACCTTCATCCACAGGAATACTGAAAAAGGCCAAGATCATGCTTCACAGACCAGAACTCAAACTAGCAGCTTCACCATTAAGGTCTACAATTAAGGTGTGTTAAGGTTTATATTGTATATACAACCTTTATAACCACCACCATTTATTAGGAAACTCTCCTCTTGAATGATTCATTGAACCCCACGTGCCTTCACATAAGCAGTAAAAATACCATAGATATTAATGAAGAATTCATTCCTCTGACACAGCAGTCTCTGAATATGTAAATATGATCTTTAGGATTAGCTATAAATCACCCAACTCACGTTCTTATTATTTATCCACCATTTAAAACACCATCATTTACCAGTTTTTTATGTTTGGATCCTGTTCATTATTAGCTTTTAGGAGCATAACATTAGCGCTCTCTGGTGGTCAGAGTTCAGCAGCACACCTTATGTTGTTTTGGATTTCAATCAGCTTTGTTTGAAGCTTCAGTCATGATTTCAGCGCCCCCCTGTGGAAGATATGATGCCTCTAATCTTGCCGTTTTGTTCTGCTCATGTGTTAGTTGTGTTTTTAAACAAAAATTTCACCCTGCTCTAGTTCAAAACTCAAACATATCAACGTTTTATTAAGTTTGTCAAGAATAAAAAGGTAAGTGTTTCTTTTTCTGTCATGAGGTCGATCAAATTTAACCGAAACTGACCTGTCTGCAGTTTTACACATTACAAATACCTTCATAGAAATATTGATCCTTATCACTGATTGTCTGTTTCATCAGTTTTAACCTTCCTTTGTTTCTTTATCACCAACAACCAAACTGAACTGTTGAATGACAGCAGTATTGAACAGCTGCAGTTTTGTGCTAACAGCTGGATCACTGTAGTGCTGGTGTGTTTTGTTATTAGGGTCCTGTTTGTTGTTACATTTGAAAGACTTCTCACTAACATGTGGCTGAAATATCCCCTTAACTAAACAGAGAACAAATATTTGATCATCTTTTCTCTTTTTCTTTTTTTCTCTCAGTTCATCACTGATAAACACTTTGCTTTTGCAGCTTCACTGCAGAGCTACAAGGACATGCAGGTTTTAAAGTTGGAAATTTTTGAGTGTTATTTCCATCATTTTCCCTTTAATTCTTAGATTGTAAACCCTTAAATTAACTAATTACTACTTTAAGTGAAGTGGACTGATTTGAGCTTCTCAAATGTGAATATTTTCTGGTATCCTCCATGTCTGTAAACTGGGTGTCTTGAGCTTTTGGACATTTAAAAAACAATGTTTTAGGATGTTGTTTTTATTTTTAAAGGACACTTATGAACATTTGTAATCATTTCAAAGACCAAAAACTGTACTGAAGGTCTCCCTGGATTACACTTTGATAAGTAGGCTCACCTTTGGTTGTGTTTTTATGGTCCGAATTCTGAACTTGATACTTAACTGCAGACCCATGGGTCCATATCATCACCAAAGAGTGTTAGAAATAGAAAATATGAAAAACATTCAGAGACAGTAAAAACAAACCGTGATCAAAACACAAGAAGCTTTTGTTCCAGTGTTCCCCTCGTGTCACTGAATGTGTGCAGACAAATTCAAGATTATAACTCTGAGCTTCTAAAGTTTAAAGAGAAAGTAACTGTTATAACAAGTTTCTTTGAGGTTTTTTTTTATTATTATTGCAGGAACTCAAAGTGACCTTTGAGTCTTCAGTATTTTAATTTCTCCTCCTCAGTCCAAACATGGTCCTGAGGGCTCGGCTGCAGAATTTTCTGAATTGTTTCAGGCGGCTCCTCCTCTCCCTTACAGGTGGACCTTCAGCAGGAGACTCACTGTCCACCCTCTCTTCCTCCTCAGTTGGACCATCTTCCAGTCCAGTTTGGGTTACGGCCAAATCACTCAGAGCTGAGTCGGTTGTTTCAGCTTCTTCTGGTCTCTCCTGAAAGGATCCGGGGACAGCTGATCCCAAATGCTCTTCCTCTTGAGCCACGACTTCTTCTGCTGGCTCAAAAAGTACTTCCTCCTCTGGCTCGTCCCTGTGGGTGACAGACATTTTGTAGGAGGTGAAGTCCACATACCCCCTGTTGTCCGTCTCTTGCAGGTGCACCATGGACACAAACAGGTGCTTCAGGGCCTGTTCAGGGCAGATTCTCTGCTCAGGGTCTGTGTTAAGAAGAAGTTTCAGAAGGCTGATGAAAGCTCTGCAATCCTCCCTCTCAGTAGATCCACAAAGCTCTGGATGAAGGGTAACAAAATCATCCAGAGACTTCACAGACCCCACACCAGGTTGAGAAACAATCCCAGTGTCCAGCTGGTACTCTGCAGGCGTCTTCAGCCACCATTTGTGGTTGTCCAGGTACTGGCTCTGAATGAAGAATTTTCTGCTCATGCTCCCTGCACTGAGTAAATGATCAGCTGGCTGACCTAGGATCTGCACAATGCTCCTCATGTGCTGGTACACACAGCTGGAGGTGAACAGGTAGGCAGACATATAAAGCATGGCCAGAAGGCACCCCAGAGACCACATGTCGATTGCCTCTGTCAAGGGGAGGCCCAGGACCAGCTCAGGTGCTCTAAAAGGGACCGCCTGCCTAACCATACCTTCCTCCACCTCTGACTTCTTTAGGGACAAACCAAAGTCAATGACTTTAATTTTGAAGGGCTGACTTTTCTGGTTTACCAGCATCACATTGTCAGGTTTAAGGTCGGCATGGATGACCCCGATGTTTTCTAAAGCCTTGAAGGCTGTCAGGAGCTGCTGAGTGATCGGACGGATCTCAGTGGCTCCCAGTCTCGATCAGTCATGAGCTGAAAAAGACTCTTGTCCAGCATTTCAAAGGCTACAACAGGACAAGACAAGACAGGGTTAGATAACATATGATCATGCTACGATCCTTTCAACTAAGGATTTAGGTGATTTTACCAGAGATGGCCAGCATAATGAAGAGATGATTTAAAAATGAAAATGAAAACTCATTTTCATCAAAATATGAGTTAGGCCATTATTTAAATAGGATGACGATATACCAGTTTAGTGAGCAGCACTGTTGTATAACCAGCTGTGTGTGAATTAGCCAAATTTAAACTAAATCTTAATTTACAATTGAATTTAAATCGACCCACATCAGTTCATTATGCTCAAAGCTAGCTCAGGCCTACGTACTTCAAGAGTTGAAGTTGAATTTCTCTTGATGCTTCCCCATTCTCTGACCAGAGAGGAATGAGAACCATTAACCCTCACATACTGTTCAAATCCTGTACCCTCACAGTATGTTCTGGGTCAGAATTGCCCCTTCAAAGAGTTCAAAGAGCAGCTTTCTGTCACAGAAAGTTTTCTTGACTAGTTAGGTCATTTTGACCTCTGTCTAGGTGTGTCTGTGTGACTGTATGTCTGTGTGTGTGTGTGCGTGTGTGTGTGTGTTTCTGTCAAGGTAATGATAGTTTCATAATGATTTGAATATATCTTTTTGAACAACAAACCTTGTATTGAACACTGTTGTTACTGTTTGTCACTTGTCCCACACTGTTAGATCTAAAATCCATCTAAATATAGATACAGGTCAAATTTGACCTGTAACAGCCTTAGAGGGGAAAAATTTGTAGCACATAAACAAAAATACACATGAATATTTTTTAATTAATTTCATGTATTCAGGAAAAGTCATCAAGTTTCAGGCTTAAAAAATGATGTTCAGGGTATTTTTACTGCTGTCAAAACGGGTCAAATTTGACCCGAACAGTATGCGAGGGTTAAGTGAATAATGTCATCCTTCTATATAACAGTAAATACATGATATACAAAGTTTGCAGATGACAGTCCAGGATGTCAGTCTCCTCATTTATACATCAATATTCAGTAGGCCTACAGTCAGGACCACTTACATCAAATGAAAAAAAATATATATACTCGCATGCACTCCCTATATTTGGCAGTGTGACTCTTCTTGAATGCCAAAGTATTTCTAAGTACTCTTCAACAATTTTAGAGTACAATTTGACCGGCAGTGTGGACACCTTGACTCAAGAATTGTAGTTTGGGATTTTGTCTCTGGATCTGAGGAGCCAGACATCAACCCTTAGTCCCTCCCATGGTTGATGGAAGGCCCTTCACCACAGAAACTCTTCCTATACATGAATGAAATAAACAAGTGTGATCATGTTTGCACACAGAGCCCTGAAGCATTTACAACGCCAACGTGACATTATTATTAGATGTCACAACACATGCACACAGTGGCTTCATATTGCAAGCAAGTGTGAGCTCCACTTTGTCATGCTGTTTGTTACTGTGAACAACAATGAATCAAACCTAAGTGACGTATGAGAAGACAACTCCAAAAGACACTTTTGAGCTCCTACTTTTATTATTTTAATTTCTGGAAAGTCGGTCATGAACTCAGAATGATCAGAACCACTCTGAAAATGAGGCTGCTGTAAAACTTATTTTACAGATCAGCTTGCGTAGATAATAAATCTGAACACGCTTTCCATGAATGAAGCAGTGAAGGGGTTGTGTCCTCCCACTGCTGTCATCGGCCCTCCACAGACAGATATGGACAGAAGGGGGGTATCATTATCTGCCAATGCCATGAAATTCAACACGCCGCCCCATGATGCATGCGCGTTCGCTCACACTTTGGACACACACCCACATACAGGCAGCCTTACGCACAAACATATGCTCAAAAATGCACGAGCCAACAGAAAGCAGAACATACACATAGCCCAAATATAGACACACATTTACACCCACTCACACACTGCAAAACATAGAGGGTTATTCCTGGGAGGCTGCAGCTGTGCACACACTCACTCTCATAAGCTCTGGAGAAAAAGGTAAGGACGATAAATCAAATCTCAGCCTCTAATGCTGCAACTCATGGCTAAAATTAGTCGCCTAAAGCAGAGTGAAGGCAGCTGAAGTGTGCTTTTTAACCTTAAACTAATGAGTGTATTTTAGCTGAGTGTGTGTGTGTCTCTAGGCAATGTCAGCCACAGATTTTTCTCAATTGCATTGACAACGGTGACCATGGTTCTTGAGTATAGTTTTATATGCCTTAGATCAGGTTGGCAATCAGTGGTGGATTTTTCTCACGTGGTTTTTTAACAGTGGGGTCTGGCAACTGATACAGGGCTCATGAAGAAAAAATATGTCTGTGAAAAAAAAGTATACTCGTCTCCTATCCTTTTGAGAGCATTTGCAACTAAATGTGTGGTACAAACCTATTAAAATGACCTGTTTCACCTGTTTTTAAGCTCTTTAATATCTAACCATTTAAATATTTTTATCCATAGGCCAATTTTCTTTAATCTGCATATTTTCTGTTTGAGAAAAGATGAAAACAATGTTTTATTTCTTATATTTTATTGCTGGAGAGTAGTTGTAGTTCATACAATTTCCTCTGACATGTGCAGCGTCTCACTCTCTCCACATGGGGGCGGAGCTACATTTGTCACGGTGTTTATCCAATCAGAAAGCGCCTAGTTGTGTAACCGCGGTTACTGGGGCTGTCGTAGTATTATGGTCTGTACACATGGCAGCTTTCAGTGGAGGAATGCTTGTAAGCGAGAGACACTTACACAGATTTAGCTGTTGTGATGCTCACTTGATAGAGCTGCAGACACATTTGGATTACTGTCGGATTTTACGGGACTTTTCGCCGATAATGTGTGTATTTATATTTTTTGGTTTAGAGTAACAATAGCTTTTTAGAGTGCTTTTTGATCGTAGATGATAGATGTACAGTAGGCTTTGAAATGTGTTGCTGTCAGTCACTCCTCTGTTTTTACACAGGTTAATCTCACACTCCTGTCCTGCTTTATGTTAATTATAGTATAATGTCGATGGCTACATTTAAATGGAGCTTATCATAGTTAAATATTTCAATAAGTATCAGGATATCTTTATATTTTTCCAGTTTAGCAGCTTAAATGTTGAATTATCCTACTTTATGCAGTTTTTAAGTTCAAACTTAAAAACACCAACTTAACATTGACTGTAAATCCAAACAGAACAGATGCCCTAAAAGCTTTATGGAAAACTTATAAGCAATTAAAGTATCCCACTAATACTTTTAGCAGTAAATAAGGAAATATGTCTTCTTTTCATTCACGTATTACAGCAAGGGTGTGACTGTTTACTCAAAAACGAACATTTGTATTTTGTATTTGAGCAGCATGGTTTTTGATAGGAGAACAGAAAGCTGTTTTTATAATGAGATGGAAATTAAATAAAGCTTTATTCACTGAACCTAATACAAAGAGAAAGAAAAAGGTGTCAAAACAACTCACTGTATCTTGTATATGGGAACTGGAACCTATTTTTCTTACATGACAGATGATCTATGAAGCAGCTGATCAATACTTGCTCATGATGACAGCTCACATGTCTGAAAATGTGATGGATATTATTTGTTTACTTTTGGCTTAATGCTATATTTACTTTCTAGGCTTGCATTTGCAAACATGTGGCTACATCTCACCTCTCAGGTCATATGAGACCTGCTCTGGCTGTCAAATATTAGCAGACACTGACTGAATGAATTAACAGAAATGTTGTCAGATTTGAATAATAGAAAAAAACATTTTTACAGTTAATATATCTTACTCCCCTTTTTATTTCAGCTATGTGAACATATGGAAAATCCTGAGCAGTTTTGTATTTGCTTATGTTGCAAAAGATTTGTCAAACACCTGACTAAGGTATCCATTTTTATTCTGGATCCCTAGATTGAGCCATCACTGCCATCATGCCCGGCGAGGACAAACCACAACAACAGACCCGCCAAAGGAAAAAGAAAAAGTCCCGCTCCAAGGGGAAAGGTCAGGGTGGGAGCCCCAGCGGACACCTTGGAAGCGGCGTAGACAGCCAGGATGACCTCCTGTTACCACCTGTGCCCCAGCCTCCTCCCAAGAAGCCAGCAGTGGAGGAGAGACCTAAAGTGCCTGTGCAGAAAGTTGAGGAAGAGTCATCCATTGCTATCTGTCTCCAGGTGCTTTTCCCCTACCTGCTGGCTGGGATGGGAATGGTGATGGCTGGCATGGTGCTGGACAGTGTTCAGGTAAGTGCACAGTCATCAGGTGGCTAGACAGAGGAATGATGATCTGTTACCGTTAGTATTTTTTTTTTTTTTCCCGGTATATCATATTTGAGAGTTTGAGTTGGTCTGGCAATTGGATAAACATACTGGTCAGTTTCCTCCAGTTGTTCCTGAAATTTTGTTCTTTAGATGACCTAAGTTTATGCAAAGCTCCCTTCTCTTGTTGTTTAATACAGTGTACTGCAAATTTAATGGAAGTGAGCAGCTGTTAGTTTGGGAAAAAATAAACAACTAGTTGTTGTAATTGCTTTTAAAATTCAATGAATTAACCTTATACAGACATGAATTTAGCCTTTCTTTTTAAAAGTAAAAAGTTAGGAGGACATGTCCTTGCAATTAAAACATGTAACTAAAATGACTCCACTCTGTATTTTGGATGGTAGAAACATTGTGTCAGCACACTTGACATAGTGTCCACACTCTGGATTATTTTATCGCAGTTGTCACATGTTTAATTTACACTGCTTAAATAAAAACTCAACATATCTAAGTATGGTATAATGCTTTCCTTAGCTAAAAGGGCGCGACAGGATCTAAATCTGATCTGTCGATGTCTCATCTCTCCCTATCAGGATTCAATTTTGCGTAACCAACTATATCTATATATCCGTCGTGCTAGCTGGCTGCTGATGGACATTATATTTATATAATCCAAATATCACTGATTTGTTTTTTTGCTCCATTTACCAAAAACAGTTCTTACCAAGTTGCGGAGGTTGAGTACACTTTATATTAAATACATTTAAAGGACTTCAACAAACAGAAAAGGCAAAATCAGGACTTTGTTAATAAGAAAAGGCAAAATTGTAGGTGTACAATAACTTATACTTAACTTAACAAATTATAACTGTTTTTAATGGTTTTGACTATCAGAATCAAGAGTATGTTGCAGCAGGGTGAGACGTCATAAAGCCAGGTAATATTTGCCTTGATTTATTGTTCAAGGTTTGCATGAGAGTTGATTAACTATACATGCAGTAGAATGCAGAGGATGAACTCCACCTGCACTTTCTTTATATTTGTCCTTAAACTTTGGAAGGTAAGTTTCTAGTAATAAAATGTTTGCAGTTTCTTGACACATGCTGCCCCCTGTAAAACTACTCTTCCTGTGATACTCTCGAGCCCTCTATAATGTTAATATGTAAATGTTTCTGCTCGGCAGCCAGTGTCTGTCCTGATTACCTGATCTGGAGCTGGTACCCGTGTGTGTGTGTGTGTGTGTGGTCCTGGTGTGTCGTCATCCTCTGCAGGCATCTCTGGCATTCATTCTGTACCCAGCTGTGTTTGAGGGAAATCAGACACACTCCTGCTTGCTTTGTGATAGGCTGTTCCCTCTTTCTTCCTGTTGTGTCATCCTCTGATAAACAAGCCGGTGTTTCCTCATATGGCTCATTCGCCTCCTTCCATCTGTTGCTCATCAGTATTTCTCACACTGTCTCCTCTACACTGTCTGTTTATCTCCAGTCTGATGGAGGACAATTAGTCATGATGAGCTTGGCCGCTTGCTGTGTCCCTGAGTGGAAGGGACGTAGAAGGACATTATGAGCAGTATATCCGACTGAGCAGAAACACCACACATCAGCATTTAGGATCATTTATGCAGTTTGTGGTGGTTGCAGATCTCTGAATCACCTCTCATAAGGCTGATGACGTGCTGTATACGCCCCCTTCTTGATGTGGTTTGGCGAAACTTTATCCAGGCATTGATTAGATTTACCCACCTTGGGCAGCGTGGGGCTCAGTTATGCTGATAAATTGTCTGACGCCTCCAAAACATTTGTTCTCTGGTTTAAAATAGGCGGGGTTTAAAATGGGTTTGTGATGCTTTGGTGTAAAACTTAAGTTTCAGTAGTCGGTTTAGCCTCTCTCAGACTTGACATCTCTCAGATTGACGGGGCGTAAATTCGTTATGGGTGATATAATCCTACACACAGCTGAACAGTGTGGAGGTGTGTTGGTTGGCATCACTAATTATTGTTATTATGCAGTTTGAATATAAGAGTTTCTTTTTCTCATGGCAACAAATGGTATCACCCACATGAATGGCTTAATATTAAGAATTTGTGTTTTACCAAAATCACTGAGCATTCAGTGGTTTTGTTAAACACAGTCTAACATCACTAAGCTCGGGTATAGTCTGGTCTGGAGAGATGGAGCTTAAAAATGATCAATTCAGGAAACCTTACTTGAATAAATGTAGGCCTATTGGTTTATGGGAGATTAAAGGCATGGTTGACAATCTGAGAAGCAGTTGAAAAAAAATGAGCCATTGAGGCAGATTTGAAAAAAGCGTCCCACCCCCCCCACACAAACCTCTCCCCTCTGTGCGCCATGATAACTTCCCCCCGAGCCTGTACCGCCCTCCCCACGACACACCCCCTCTGGCAGAGCAAAAAGCCGGCTGGCAAAAGATCCTACGCTAGCTTCAAATGGGATTCACCATGTAAGATGTTGGAAAAAGAATGATTTTAGTATTCAGGTGAGTAAACGCCAGCACTGCTAGCAAGCACCATCTGCAGCTGCCTGGACGGCTAGTGTGTTGACATCCCAGAGACTAATAAGAGTTATTTATGTAACATGTGTCACCACAAACGGCAATAAAAATTACCTGTTCAACAAAAACTCTGAAAGGTGTTTTATCACTTTGATGTTCTTTGGTAATGTAAAGTCTACGTCACTGCCAAACTGAAGTAGCAAAAGCAAACTCAATCAACAACCCAGACTGATTGAATAAGCCAGAGTCAACATTTTATATACTCAGATCAACAGTGTGACATTGGTTGGAACGGCTTTGAATTAAAAATATGTCTGACCCCTTGAGCTGAAAGAAAAACTGCTATATGGTGATGAAACACAGCACAGCAAGAGAGAGAGCTGAGGGCAGGAAGCAATCGCAGTGGTCCTTGGTCATGCCTTTCATTTAAAGCATGAATGGTTTAGGAGATTCAAAGTGAGCTAAAAAAAAAACTGATAACGGTGCAGGATTGCTAAAGACTTATACCACAGTTTGGTTACCTTGTTCAAAAGAAAGGAAGATGTTAATGAGAGATGTATCACAGGATCTCTCTTGTCTTAATGAGACACTGAGGTGTTTTAGGGTTCAGCTGCTGGATTGGACATTGATGATGTTTTGTAGTTTTAGGAGGAAGTGCTGTTGTAACTAAATGTGTGCTGCACTCATTGTATCATGTGATATTGTATTGTATTATGTCCTGTTGTATCCTCCTATGTCATTGCATCATAACCCATACTCTCATATTGCGTGTTATTGTACTGTACCTTATCTTGTATCTGTATTATATCGTATTGTCTCGTCTTATCCTATTGTATTCTATCACATGTGGTGTTACATTAGATTGTACCTAAATATCGTATCTTACAGGATCGTATAACATCCCACTATATCATAAACATGTCATATCCCATTGTAACATATCCTGCTTGGATGTATGGTATTGACAGTGGTGTTTCCTATTGTATTGATTCATACCCTTTTGTGTTGCATTAGATTTTTGTTTTGGAAAGCATTTTTTATGAAGGTGTTTGTTATCAGCATTAGTTAACAGCCAATAACCTAGTTATAAGATATTAAAAGATGTTTATTAGCCTTAATAAGTGTTAATAAATGTTAATAAAAACATAATGAAAGCATTTATTATAGCTTATAGACCCTCATAAGAAACTTTTAAGAGTTTATATACCTGTCATATCTATAGGATGTTTATTAAAATTGAATTATCTTTATAAGGATGAATTACACTTCAGTAAATACATTTAGTATGAGCTTGTTCTCACTAAAGCTGGTGAAGCTGCTGTTAGACTTAAGAAGTGCAAAATAAAGGATTTATTGATCCTTCCAAGGCATGAAATGCAACCATGTGAAAAAAATATTGGATTCAATTCAAAAGTGGCCTTTAAACATCAAGATTAAGTGGGTGCTTACAAGTAATCTTCTCAGCAGTGATAAATGTTAGGTATAGTTATAATAAATTCTCTTAACACATATAAAACCTTGCTGCTTATAAACATTAATGACTTAATGTAAGTGGCTTATCAACCATTAATACTTATCAACTGGTAATACTTCATATTACCTTCATATTAACTGTTAGGTTACTTTGTATTGTGTCATAATGTATGTATTGCATTGTAGTATCATCAAATATGAATCATTTTGAAACAGTCCTTCTCCCCTGAATCAAATGACTGTGTAGGTAATGATGAGAAAAAGAAAGTCCCCCCTGTATTCTCTTATATTTACTTTAGTGCTGCCCCTACAAAGCACAAGAACAGGGTGATTAAGTGATTTGTAGATTCTCGTGACCCAAAAGCCGCTCTGGAATCAATATTTTAGTCCATGAAAGCTACATGAGGGAAACAGCAGCAGGGCCTCTGACAGGATCACAGTGCAGAATAGCAGGTGGACTGAAGATAGAGAAGGATGCAACGGTCAGAGAGAAAGAATGAGTCATGATTTAGAGAGAGAGGGAGATTAGAAAAGAGGGATGCAGGACAGGCCGACGTAGCAAAAAAGATGTCACATGGAAAGAGGGAGGAAGGATGAGAGGAAGACACGCAGCAAAGAATAGCGAGAAGGAGGGAGAGAGTGAAGTGGTAAGCTGGTCGTTTCCTCTCATGAGTCTGCATGTCGGGCAGCGCAGACAGCCCTGCCTCTTTCTCTGCTACGTCACAGCAGAGCAGAGCGGAGGAAGCAGGACTACCCTGATGCTGACAGGAAGAGAGAAGCACTCCAGAAGCCGGCTGCTGCGTCTTTAGAGGACCTTTTCACATCACTTATTGACACTACGGAGCTCTTTCTTTTCCTCCGTAGTGTCATTGCAGCCCTGCTGAAGGAAAGGAGCTGTACTGAGAAAGACATGGAGGGATTCTGCTGCTAATTTCAGAGACCTTTTGGACTATTTGTCATCTTCTTGCTGTTGTCAGTCACTCGTGACAATCACTGACTTTGATTTGAAGAAAACAGCTCAGAGTTTGTTTGTGAAAGGTCATGTTGATTTCAGACTGGATTAAATGGATTGAGGACCAGATTGAACAAACTCCATTTGAAATACTCTTAACTCCAAACCGTGGATTCTGGAGCAGATTAAACAAAGTTGGACCAGGACTTGAACTTCTTGAAGTTGGAACTCTCCACTGTCAAGTTTAATTTCTCTGCTCTGTGTGGATGTCAAAACTGGCAGGTTAAAGACAAAGTAGTCTGACTTTGATCGCAGATGTGGAACAATCTTGCTGGTAAAGATCACTGTGCGCTGACTAAGACGTGGTGTTAATGACTTTGTTCCCCAGTGATGCTGACAAATGGGTACTTCATTCCTGCTGACTCATTACTGGGCCAAAGATGCCACACGCTTCCCCCCCAACAACTTTGGTTTAGAGTCGTGAATTATGATTGTGCCAGTGAGGAAACTTGGATAAATTGGACAACTACTCCCTTATTACACCTTGTTTTACACTCGGATCATTTTAAGACCCGGCAGTAGCTTCCTGTTTAGTGTTAACACTGATCAGAGACATAATTTGTTATCCTTTGAGAGAGCAGCATTTATCCATTCAAGGCTTGAATTCTCAAGAATAGCTGTGTAGCTGTGTTGCAGCAGGAAAAGTTTCCTCCATATACTGGGTTTAACAAAACTGTCAACTTCTTCAGAGAAGCAAGACTCAAACCGGTCTTATGTGGACAAATCAGAAGTGGATTTTGATTTACATTTGGATTAAAGTTCAGCCAGTAATGGGATAACTACACCTTGAAGCACTCTTTCATCATGGTGGTGACTCGTCTGGAGGTGGAGCTCCGCTACCAGGGCAAGAAGTTACGCGGCGTGACGTGGAAGTTGACCCGATCCGAACATGGTTTCCTTCCAGAGAGCTCTTGGCTCATTGCAGCCCAGGTTATGGTGCCATACCTTGTGTCTGGGCTTGGGATGGTCTCTGCTGGCATTGTTATGGATCTTATACAAGTATGCAATTTAATGGGTTTGAATTCTTCCTGACATGTTTACTGTTTGTGTACAATAATAAGTATCTGTGAGATTATAGCTATAAAAACTTCTACAAATCAAACTAGTTCACAAACAAGTCTTAAACAAATAGAAAAAAGGTAAATAATGTTAAATCTGTCATTAACTAATCATTGATGAAAACACACAAATTAATTGTTTTACCTCTAAGTTTTACTGATTTGTTTTCCATGGCAACAAAACAGATCAGAAAGAGAAGAGAAAAAATCATTTGACTCTCTGAATTTGAACATGTGGAGCAGTCATATAAAAATAGTCTCAGTGGACATAAAGTCATTAGAGTGATAGCCTGGTGTTGCCAAACCCATCATGTCTGATAGGTCCATTTTATTTGCTATGGTAACAACGACCATTGGCTAGAAAGATACGCTTCTTCAAATACATCCTCTGTCTTTGTTGTTTCTGTTACCATGCGATTCTTTACATCCTGTCTAGGGCACTTTCGTATGTTAATCAATCAATCAGTCAATTTTTATTAAACATAGTGCCAAGTGTTATCCCAAGACTTTAAACAATGAAAGCAGGTCTGGAGCATCCCCTATTTACAAAGATGCGATGCATAGATGGGATCAGACTGAGCCCTATCCTGTCTTCAACCACATGAGTGTAGCACTTCACAGCTTTTAGTAAGTTACAGCGGAGAGGAAGGACTTTCTTTAACAGGCAGAAACCTCAAGCAGAACCAGACTCATGTTAGACAGTCATCTGCCGCTACTGCATTGGGTTTAGAGAAGGGAGAGAGGGAGATGGAGAAAGAGAGAGAGATGGACATAGATTAGTTTGATGTATGTAGTTAAAGCAGCTGGAGAGCTGGCAGGAAAACATCGATCCAGAGAAACCTACAGCATGATGGAGCTCAGGGACTTCCAGAAAAGACTGTGTATTAGTGACTCTAAGAGGCATGCAGAGTTAATGACACAGACAGAAAGTGAATGAAGAAAGTGGGAAATATGCTCATTGAGCCAGGACCTCTCAGCAGTCTAAACCTATAGCAGCCTATCTGAGAGCTGGCCCAGACCTAAGCTAGGTCTAAATATGAGCTCTATCAAAGAGGGGCATTTCAAGAATACTCTCAAAGGCAAAGAGGATGTCAGCCTCAGAGGAGGGGGACTTAAGGTACGATGAGCAGGCCTGCATATTGGAACCACAGTGTTCTGGTGTGGTAATTGGAAACTATGAGCTGCAAGTTCTGAGACAGGATGTGTCTGACTTGTATGTGACAATTGCTAACGCCCCCTGCAAAAATGGAATGAAATGAGCTTTTCCAGACTTATTCACCAAGGCAAATTGGTTTGGCGATATCAGGCTAGTAGACAGAGGCTCAAATTACAGTCTGTGGATTTCCTGCAACAAGAGGACGAAACAGAAACAATTTTTCAGTGTCAAGTTTGCTGCCTGTTCTGGGAAAAACAAGCATGTCTGAATGGTTGGGGGCCAGTGGGGAGAAAATGCATGGTTTGTAGGCACTAATGTTGGTGGTATGCAGAGATATTGGTGTGTCAGTCTGGGAAATCCTTCTCTGCATGACCTTCCACTATTCTGATGGCTCTGTATAGGTAGGATAATGCCCTATAGAAAAGTTATCAATCTCCATGTCTTTGTCCATACCATGCACAAATGCATACAAAGCACCATTAATGTTTGAATTGGTGACTGACGTTACAGTGATTTTTTGCAGAGCTGAAATACGGAGGGTAGTGTTGTATGAATGGATGCAAACACGAAAAGTAACTACTAGATTCAAAGAAATCCTGTTTCCCAGATGATTGCCCTGTTCAGGAGATGACGCTTGTGCAACATCCACCTTCCTGGGTACTGTGAATTAGATTTAGATGTGGGAGGGAGAGGAGTGCTTTGGGATAAAAGCGAATGGTTAATTCAATAAGTGGTTGGAGGATGAAAGGAAGGAGGCCTGTGAGGAGAGGCAAAAAAAAAGTTTGATATCTTGGTATCAAATAGAAGAAAAGGAGCCACTGCATAAAAAAGAGCTGCAGTCTATGAAAGGCTGCATTGTTTGAACCAGTATTTTCTGCATTACTGTTCGCTCTGTGTGCAGGTGGAACTGTTCTGGAAATGACTGAGTGCACATACTGTTTAAACACAGACACAGTTTACAGTTAGGTCCTGATCTTAATGAACGTAACAACAGAGCGATTGTAAACTTTCTCCTGAGGTGTCAGAGGAGCTCAGTGTTGAATCTGTGCCTGGTTCTCAGTCAGGAGCAGCAGTATTACAGCAGAAGTGGGCCATGTCCCAAGATAACCTCCCTAACTTGACAGCCGTCAGCCAGACCTAGCAGTCCAGAACCCGAGAACCATGTTTATTAATAGATGCACATACTCACAAAGCCACAAAAAGCATGTGTGATACTACTTCTCTGGACATTTCCTACTCCCTTCACGACCTTGTTTGGCCCCATAGAGGTTCCTCGCCTGCTACTTTGGTGTGAGCGATAAAGCAAAACAGCAGTGACACAGTCACCTCTGATTTAACAACTGGCACAGATAATTTGACAGTTTAAGAAGACAGCCTTATGTAAAACAAAATGATTTGATACTGCTCTTGTTATTTCTAGTGAGTTTTAGAAATGTTCCAAACTATTGCACAACTTAGAATTGTACATTTAACATACATATCCTCTGTTTGATCATTTTAGGTTTTGCAAACACACAGAATCAGATAAACTCAATATTTAAATTTGTAGTCACTTGCTTTTTTCTTGTACTTGACATTTTATGGTGGCCATCTGGCTAGCATGCTATTTGGCCTTGCACTTGTTTTTTTTTTTTCATTTTCTCCACCTCAGAACACCTTTACAAAAAGGAGACATGCTATTTGCAGTGCGTCTCTGAACTAGATGCTTTCTGCTGCTTGTTTCTCGCTAAATTTATCTTATCTTTGTATTCCTCAGATTTAAAGCAAGCGGAAGCCTCTGGTGTTGTAATATGAAGCTGTGAAATTCCTGTAGTGTCCACTTGAGGCTGGCTTCTAAAGCCCATAAAACCCCTCAAATATTATTTAAAGCAGAATTAAATATGCTACTATGGTTGTCCCTTTTATTAAAATTCAAGTTTTAACAAATATAGAACAAAACTTTCTAACCTTGAGATTTCTTATATAGATAGATATGTCTGAGAAGGGCCAGTTTGTAATTTCATTCTCTCATCATTGTTGAGCTCATTATCTCTTCTAAATGTGTGGCCTTATGTGTTATAAAATGCAAAAAAAAAAATGTTTTCATTCTTAGCTGCCTTTTTTTTTTTTGACAGAGTTATGTTTTAATATTGGAAAAATAAGTAGGTTGGAAGTTGAAATGTAATTTAAGTCTGTTTCACAACCAGATAAAAACTCCTTAAAGGAGCTTTAATCACCTCACTCAAAGACATGAAGAAGCTTTTACATTATTTTCCATGCGGTTCTAAAGGCTCTGTGAAATCGAATAAAATAATAATTTGAAACAATCTATAAAATCTTCATTAGTAGTGAGTGAAACAAACTGATTTAAACTGGCCTCTCATTGTCATCCACAGTGACCCCCTTTAGTGTATAAGCTAAGACTTTAACGCTTCTGTGAGGAATTTTCTACTGGTGTTGGTGCCCCCTATGGACAAAGTGGTAACTCTTACATAGAAACCTGCTTTGTCTCGTCTGTGTGAGTGTGGAGTTGTTGCCTAAATATCTTCTCCTTTTGTTCGTTTGTAATGAAAGTCATCACTCACTGTGAATATCCACGATGGGGAAAGTAACAAAGGCTGTTTGTTTCTTGAGAGTACTTCCCCCCCTCACAGCAATAGCAGACATTTAAAATGACTGTATAGAGAGGATCAATCGCACTATCGATGGTCTTATCATTGAGATGTGTTCCTGTTCATTTCAGTCTGATTCATAATCAATCAAAACATCCTCACTCAGGTTTAAAGTGGTAACTGCAGATGCTAGAAAGTGATGAAACAAGCGCTGATCGCTCACTTTGCTCAGTGGCCTTAGAGCTTTTCGAAATGAACTCTGAAAAAAACAACATTTATATCACAGTGTTTGTTTTAAACTCTCATCTCTGCACTGACAGATGAAGTTATCCACATTACTTTGAGGGCTTTCATAACAGAACCCAAACACTTGCTCTTTCTCTGTGGTGCCCTTTAAAAAATATATTCTCTATGCAGTTGCATAAGGCATTTTTTATGCATTCTTGGCTGAGCAGATGAGTCCAGGAGCATATCAAACTGGAGGTACCTTTGTACGATCCTTTTGTGAGGTATTGCAAATGAAGCTGCAGAAATGAATCCTGTCATGGTCATAGGACTCCGGACTGGAAAAATAAAGTCACTGTCTGGTTTTGGCTTTCACACTTTATGCATTGAGCTGGCTGAACAAGTAGGACTGCAGCTCAACCCTCAAAACAACCCCTAATGTTGAATTATTATGAGGCATTATCTTAAATGAGCACGTCCTGCTCAGTGGCTCTAGTTTAAAGCATCTCAAATATTCATGTATGTTTCCTAAATGTCAATTTCTTTCAAACTATTTCCTATCAAACTCTTTTTCCTTCCTCCTCTCCTCAGTTATCCCTCCATCTCCAGCCTGCTCTGTCAGTCCCTCCTCTCATCTTTAATTCCCTCTCTACCTTCTGCTGCTCCACATCACTCCACTTTTGGCAGCTGCCTCGTTCTTTTTTTTCTTCTTTTTTTATACGTGCATCTATTTAAAGATCTAAACCGTCTCAGGCCTGCCAACCGGAGTTGTAGTCAGAAAATGTGATGCAGACTCCGTGAACTGTACATCTCGTAAACCCGCTGAACCTGCGAGGTATGGCGTGGCTTTAGATGATGCTCAGAGATGTGGAAGCAGGAAAAGTAGGCTACTGGGTTAGTCGAGAATATGTGATGTGCTTATTTAAGTGCATCAGTCAGGGACGAGGTGCAGAGAGTTCATCTGTGCAGGTGAAGACGGCACTGCAGGGTTTAATTAAGTCAGTGTTGTGGCTGAGGGACTTGTCGTATTTAAGTGTTTTTGTGAAGTTGTCATTATTCTGATTGTGTGTCTTTCAGCACTGGGAGGTGTTTAAAGTGATCACAGAGGTGTTCATCCTGGTACCTGCTCTGGTTGGACTCAAAGGAAACCTGGAGATGACCCTGGCTGCCCGCCTCTCCACCGCTGTAAGATCTTATTTTAACTTCTCCCTGATTTTAATGTTTAATGCCGACCTTTAAAGGCTTTTAATCCACCTCTGTTTGTTGAATTAAATGATTTGTAGTTGCTTTCATGCCATACCATATCATCAAAAATGGATGTCTCAGATCTCAGAGGTCACGTCAGAACCGGACGCAGTAATGTGCTTCAACTGCTTAATGGTTTCTGAGAGTGATATAAGACATTAGCATGTGTAATGCAACATGTTAAATTATTCAGAATCACATTAAGACGTTACCATGGCACTTTGTTGTGTGCAGATAAGAAAACACCTTTGCAGTTAAATCTCTATCCTGGGTGTGTTTTTTCACAGTTTGTGTGCCTTTGGGTCGAGCTGACATCCTTTATGACACAGTGACATTTTTAATATTGATCCAGCGGGGTAAGACGGCACACAGGCAGGCGGATCAGAGAGATCTGAAAAACAAACCCTGGCAACTCCCCATTGATCGACCCCTGCATGTTATGATGACAGTGTTCCCCTGAATTTGCTCTGGAGTTACCTTACAAAGAGAAGATCCTGGAGTAGGCAAACAACCACTGTGAAATAAGATCTGCAGGGATGTGAGGATATGAATTACTCCTGATATGGTAAAACTGCAATTAAAAAGATGTGTTTATTGGCATATTAAAAATAAATGAAGATGTGCTCTGAGTAGCTTAAAAGTGCATCCATCAGTGGTGAAGGGTTGCTAATCGGTTGCAATTTATAACCTGAACTTCTTATGCAAACCCCGGGTTATAAGATAAAGTGCAGTTCTTATAGGATCTTTACAGGTTCTGTCTTGCCTGTCCTGAGTTTTTGAACAATAGGCTGCAGTATTCAATCTCATTTTGTCAGTGGGAAATTTTTTAAGTATTTCTGTTACAAATGACAGAAAACTAATTTCCCTTCAACTTGTAATACCGGCTGGTGTTGTGTTCATGCTTTCAGGCCAACACGGGCCAAATGGACGATCCTGATAAACAGTGGACCATGGTGTGCAGCAATTTGGCACTTATACAGGTAACATCTACGCTGTTAACTAATTCAACTTAATGGAACTACCGTTAAAACATCCAGAACAATATTTTTTCATCGTTTCGTCTTCTGTATTTCCTCCCCCTGCAGGTTCAGGCGACAGTGGTGGGCTTCCTCGCTGCTGTGGCAGCTGTGTGTTTAGGGGCCATTTCTCGAGGAGGGGTTGAACTGGACCAGGCGGCTGTTCTCTGTGCCAGCAGCATCACCACTGCGTTTGTAGCTGCTCTTTCATTAGGTAAGTCATGTGTCATTCGCTCAGTATTTCCAACAGGAGTTAAATATAATGTCTGAACAATCTTTACTGTTTGTTTGGCTCAATTTATTACAATTTTACTAAATTTATGACATTTTTTTTAACATGAAATGTTGATAAAAATTGACCAAAAATGTTCCTGTTGGTATGATTTATTATATTGTTTTGCCTTTGTTTTAGTAGTTGTGAACTTCTGTGTGTAGTTTTGTTGCAGCCCGATATTGACCTGGTTTTACTTTTACATAATTAACCATTTTTTTGTGCAGAACTGTGTGTAGCTCCTCTGACTGACTCTGACTGATTAAGAACCAACCCAGCTGTTTCATAGTCTTAATAACACCCTGGATACTGAGACCGTCCCAAAGGCAGACAGTAAAGAGGAGGAGGAGACTCACATCTCAATTGTGGAGACCAACGTGCTTAACCTCTGTTCCTTTATTACCGTCCTGTACAATGAATAAAAAAAGAGGAGGGGCTCGAGTGCTTGAGATGCATCTTGAATTAAAGCCTCCATAACTAAAGCAGAACTTGCATTTCTTGCGTAAGCTTTGATTTGCACGGGAGTCTTGAAGTGTTCAGCATTTGGAAACACTCCAAAAAAATGACATCAGAGGGTAATACGATCTGAGCTTGTTAAGAGCTTTACAAGGAAAGGGATGTGAAAATCATTTCCATACATTAACGGAACTCTGAGGAGAGAGCAGCTCAGGATTGATGTACTCTCTCCTCCTGGTTCTGGTTAACAGTCTAGCTGAAAGTCTTCTCTAAAACTTGAGCTAGTCGTATAATAGTCTAGCTTTTTACTTTGTCCAAGAGGTTATTAAAGTATATTTTCCCCTGACTGAGCGATAATGGATTGGTAACATAGATCAAAATCTGAAATCAAATGAGTATTTCTCATCTTAGATTACTAAACAGCATTTTTATCTTTGATTCTGAGCCAACCTGATCTTCATTTGCCTTTTACTTTAAAGACCCTCAATCTCTTTGTCAAGAGAGTGCGATAAGGAGACAGACACCTATTTCATGATCTCTGATTTCAAAGCAGAAAGAAACATCTGGTGTTATTTTGAACAAAGGTTAATATCTACCCATCGTGCATTCATTTCAGGCACACACAGATGTAGCAGCAGGTGCACCTGTCCCCATATAACCCCTTGTCCTCACTGAATCATCCATAATTCATTTTATCATAAATATGTTAGAGCAATGCAAAGATATGGAGCTTGAGGCGACCTCACTTGACCTGTTTGAGTTTTTGTGAAAGTCTAGAGCTAGAGCACAGCAGGAGACACATTTTAAATTCATTATTTCATCGTGTTTGTTTGTACCTGTTACTTGTTTTTGTCTTGTTCTGTCTCTACTCATTCAGGCTGGATTGCAATCTGAAAGTGTTTTTTATTCTAAGATTTTCTTAAACTTTTGTCATCATTGGTGTCCTGTAACTCGGACCAAGAATCATTCTTGAGTTACTTTTTCTTTGACACCTTGTTTCATACTGTCTTGTCCCTCTCTCCTCTCCTCCTCCTCCTTCCCTACAGGTCTGGTGATGATTGGAGTGATCATTGGCTCCAGGAAGGTGGGGATCAACCCTGACAACGTGGCCACCCCCATTGCCGCCAGTCTGGGGGATCTAATAACCCTGTCCCTGCTGGCCGGGGTCAGCAGCACGCTCTATGAATACAGGGGTGAGATGATGACACAGAAATACTGCAGGGGGGAGGGAGAGAATTCAGACCTCAGCTGTGATTTATGTTGGACATTAATTTGGACATTTATCTCTTAAGCCAAGGCTTTGATTGTAGAAATATTTATTGTGAGGAAGATTGATTGTAAAAGAGTTTTGATATCCGGTGAAATGAGAGGGAGGATTTGAACATCATTTTAAGTTTGTCAAAAGTTTGACAATCAGAACACAAGATGGCAGCAGAATTCATACATATCATCCCAGACAGCTCATCACAGTGTGTGTTTGTGTGTTTGGGAACCAACACTGACTCAAAGCATTGTGGCTCCATGATGTCTGCTCTTATTTTTTAAAATAAAACTTTTGATCATTCTGTTTTTTTCCCATCTTAAAAAATGGATGGTCTAACCTCCCTGTGCTCCAAATGTGGGTGCAAAGATGTTCAAGCTTCAAACTGAAGTGACTTTAAATTGATCAAAGTATGGAGCTTGTTCAAGAAAAAATCACTGCAGTTTTTAGCTGGTCATAAAACAGACTGGAATATATATTAATGCCTCTGAAAGTGCTGGAAAAACAAACTAAACCATCAGTGTAAAGGTTGACTGCTCTGAAAATGCTGTTTTTTAAGTCTGAAACAGCTGATGTGGAGAGGGTTTCAGGTGTAGTATTTGACTGCCTGCTGCATACTGAATCTTTTATCCACATTTTCATTGTCGTAGATTTCCTTTGAGTCATTAATATGTCTGTTAGAATAAAGCGCAGTGAGGTTTAAAACTAATACTTACCAAGGACAAAATCAGGGAAAAGATATCATGGACTGTTTTGTCCACTTGAGGCGCCAAAAATCAACACCGACAAAATCCTCCTCACAGGAGCTTTAAAGCTTTAAAGTTTGTAAAATATTTTGTTGAGAAGTCATCAAAGAGAAGCTTTTGAGATAGGCCAAAATAAACCCTGATTAAACTCCTCCTTCACGATACCTTTATTGAAGAGTTTTTGCAGTCCAGTTATGGTTTAAAACAGTGGTTCTCAAGTCTGACACACCTGATCCAAATGATCAGCTCGTTATCAAGCTCTGTAATGGCTTAATAACGAGCTAATCATATGAATCAGGTGTGTTGGAGCAGGGAAACATCCAAAACATGCAGGACAGTGGGCCTCGAGGACTGGACTTGAGAACCGCTGGTCGAAAATACGAACCTAGAAAATAATGCACAGCTTTCTCTGTATCAGATCAATTGTTTGCTATCACTGTATGAAGGTGTGCTTTGGTTTAACTGTTCCTGATAATTATTATAGTCATAGTCATAATTAAAGGGGACTTACTCTCTAGGGAGAATAATTTTTGACTCATTTCTCCCTCTCTGTGTTTGCCTGAGAGCATCAGAGTAAAGCTGCTGGGATTTTACTAGTTTTCTTAAATGAGGAGACCTCCTCTGAAAACTGCTGCCCCATTAAAAACCTTATAAAGCTTGAACACTTTAAGAATCTCAAACAAGATCATGTTTGCAGCAGCTCGGCTCAAAGACTCTCAGCTGAGGCTGTTTTTATTGAAGCATCAGATTATAAACAAATTCTTCTGTGCATGTTGTTGCATGGCAGAGTGTTGAAAAAAACAAGAGTATCTGTTTTTATGTCCTCACCGCACTGTGCTCATCTCTCTCAGACGTTTGGTACCTCTCCCCCCTGGTGTGTCTGGTCTTCTTGGCCCTGATCCCGTTGTGGGTGCTGGTGGCTCGACAGAGTCCTCAGATAAGGGAGGTTCTGCGCTCAGGGTGGCAGCCTGTCATCGTCGCCATGTCCATCAGCAGGTAAAGACTCAAAATCTGCTCCACTTTTAATATTATATTTTCTTGTGGCACCTCAATCATGTTTATAGTTAAAGTATGTTTCAAATTAACTCTGTGTAGTAGCTTACTCTGGAAGTATGCCGTGTTTTGGAAATCATTTTGGATAAATGTTTTCAATTATTACCCAAGCAGTTTGTAATTAAATAAGAACTAAACCAAGTTATCACTGCAGATTAGTCTGGCAGGCTAATCCATCCAGATTGTAAAGTGTTTAATGAGAAAAATCAGTCAGCACTCTGAATTGGTAATTAAATCCATGAAAACAGGATTAGCTCTCAGCTGAAAGGTTTCTTTTTGGCACAGGCTGCATGTGGTTCCTCTGATTTCCTCTGTGTTTGTGATCTCCAGTTTTGGAGGCCTTATCCTGGACAAGACAGTGAGTGATCCCAACTTTAAGGGCATGGCGGTCTTCACACCTGTTATAAACGGTAAGCAGATAATTAAAGCTAAAAGACGTTTTTAGCGGTTTATTGCTCAGAGTTTTTGTGAGCATTTATTTGTGTCTGTAACTGCCAGACAGCCACTTCACCTCATCCTGGTGCCTTATGTGAAGTCTCTGCCCAATCAGAAGCTCAGCATTTCTGACAACTACAGACTTTGTTAAAGATGTTGGTCAGCACTGACCTATCATCATGATTAGAAAAATCAAAGTAATATCTATATAAAAAAAAATATCTTAGTATAGTATAATAAAAATATCACATTGTAGTATGAAAAAAAAAAAATAATAATAATAATGATGATGATAATGCATCAGATTTCATTTAGCGCTTTATCGGAGACCCTCAAAGCGCTTTACATTAGATACATCATTCATTCACTCACACAGTCATACCCTGTGTGTGTATAGTATGATAAAGATGGCATAATATACTATGAAAAAATGTCTTTAATAGTACGAGAAGAATGTCATAGTAAAGTATGATAAAAAATGTCATATTATGGTATGAAAAAAATGTCATAGTATTGTTTGTTAAATAAAATCATAGTTAAGTATTATGAAATATCGCTGTATTGTATGTAATAATATTATAGTACAGTATGCTAAAGATGTCAGAGTATGTTATGATAAAAATATATCATTTAAGTATGTAAAACATGTCATGGTATGGTTTGACAAATATAACATAGTATAGTATAATTAAAATATCATACTATTGTATGATAAAAAAGTATTTGAAAGGTTTGATAATAAAATCAAAGTACAGTGTGATAAACCGATCACATTATATTATGAAAAAAAATCATAGTTAAGTTCCCCAAAAGATATAGTAGTATAGTATGTCAAAATATCTTTGTTTGGTATGTTAAAAATGTCATCGTACAGTATGATTTAAATATCATGTTGTAGTATGAAAAAAATGTCTTTGTATATAATAATCTATAGTATGTTAATTAATTCATATTATAGTACGACAAAGTATCATATTATTTCATCAAAACAAATCATAGTTAAGTATGTTAAAAGTGTGATAGTATATGATAAAAAAACGGCATAATAAACTATGAAAAAATGTCATTAAATAGTACGAGAGGAATGTCATAGTAAAGTATGATAAAAAATGTCATATTGTGGTATGAAAAAAATGTCATAGCATAGTATGATAAAAATATCATAGTATTGTATGATCTAAATATCATGGTATACTATGATAAAAATATCAAATTTTAGATTTATCATAATCATCTTTGATAAATATGTGAATATATATATATTATCTATATTATCTAGATAATATATATTATATATCTTTGATAAAATTATCTTTGATAATATATTAGTTTGAACTTTTGTGCACACAGTCATGGTACTAGAAGCTTAGGAGCATCTTTATCTTGGTATAAAAACTGACCTTAAGAAAAGACAGCTCATTTACCTAATAGATGGCTTTCTTGTCCCACAGCTGTTCAAAACAAACACAATCTCTTGGAAAATAATAACTTGCCTTTAGACTATTTTTTAAAAAGCTGGTAAAAAGCCGATCCTTCAGGCTGCAGCAGTCACTGAAAAGTCCTGCAGAATCTTTGAGGGACTGATGTCTGAGAAAGTGTTTAACAGCGTGTGCTGGTTTTATAATCCAGTCAGATATACTGCAGAAATCAGATAAACCCGCACAAGGACAGACAGATTTGATTTTCCAGTTAAAACCTGCTCCTGAATCAGAATTAAAATGACATCAGAAGTACAGGTTGTGCTCCTTTGGTGTTTCTCCCATGAATACTTCCAGCATACCAACTAAAGTATTGACAGAAAGTCCACCTCTGAACTGAATAATAATGCCTTTCACTCAGGCTGCAGTGAGTTGTGGTCTTGAGTGCATCTCTAAATCCCCTACAGGGTACCTGAGTTTTGTCAAATTTAATTCTGAGTTCCCTCCTTCCTCATTTTTCCTTTATCCTCCCTCTGAAACTCATTTTCTTACTCACAAGCTATACCGTGTGGTTGTGCAGTTTTATGTGGTGACTCACTGGAAAATGCACTTTTGTGTAAGTATGCCTGGATGACATCAGAAAGTTACAGTAAAAGCGTTCAAGTCATCAGAGGAGTTCAAACATATAGGCTGTTTCTCGTAAGAAGAGTTCATAGGTTTTTGAGAAGTGACTCTACATGTGATGCAACTTTTGATGAACTTTAATTTTTTTTCTCTGTTTGAGCATTTGACTTTTTAAAGAGGGTAAGAAACTCAGAGTTTAGAGCATTTGTCACCTTGCTGGTAAATCATGCAAGAAGTAGGCTGAGGTTCTTATCAACTTCCATGAACCCTGAAGAAATAAGCTTTGTTGCCCCCTGTTGGCCGTTAAAAAGAATGACAGTTCTCATTGGCTCCACTCTTTCACCAGAAAGCCACGTTTTCCTCATATGTGGTCCATGCAGTATGTTTATTCTTGTGCAAGAGTGGGAGGATCAATTTTTTCATGGTATCAATTCGGTCCTGGAAAGGAGTGAGGAGATGGAGAAAACATTGTGATCAACAACCCATTTGCAGCTTAATTTGACCTTTTAGGTTTGCATGGGGCTCTTCCCTCCAAGAGAGCAGTCCAATGAGCTGCAAAAAATCAGAGAATGTAACAATGAATGAAAGTCTATAGTTACTTCTGCTCATTAAAAACAGATTTTCTCCTCATAAAGCTGTTGTGGATGGTGAAAATGCCTGGAGACACAGGAAAGTGGAGGCAAAAGAGAAGCAGCTTCAGAATAAGTGGTTTGGCTGGGAGGAGATGCATGCACGGATCCTCTGAGCATAGGAGAGGAGTCAATATAAACCACTAATAGTACACACCCAGCGTCCTGGCACAGCTGACAGCAGCTTCTAATAACCATCGGGGCTCACTGTCACTGTTTCTCATTTAGTCTCTGCCCATCTTCCTGCTGTGTCTCCATCCCTCTTTTTTCTTGCTCTCTGTGCAACACTGTTGAATTCCAAATTCACAAATCTGGTTTGAGTTTCCCATTTTCCCTCCCTGGTTTGCATATAAACCACTATTATAGTTGACCAAAAGTCCCCTGAAGTGTTTCCCATCTTTGAAAAGAACATGTGTGCAGTTGTTTTGGGTACATTCTTGGTTAGGTGTTTGATGTAACTGAATTAGGCACATTTCCTTGTCAGCAGCACCCAAATTAAAATGGACTGGTAAGCTCTGGAGAAGTTGTTTTTTTGAATTCAGGCGAAAATGCTGCTTTGACAAATGTAGATAAAAAATAAAGGCTCAACCCAAGAGTGAGCGAATATAATCTTATCTAATATCTCTCACAGTTAACCCTGGTGAGCTGATTTGCTTTGAGGGAGGACACATCTGGGACAGATTGAAAAAGATGTAAATGACTTCTCAAGCTGATCCAGCATCTTGACACAAAGTCAGGCAGAAAAACGTCGTCCATCTGAGCAGCACATAATGCTTTCTGCACAACCAGAGTCACATTTCACTGTTGGAACATTATGGCTGCTTAAGGTCAATCTGCTTTCCATACGCGCGTGTCTCTTTTGTCCCTCCGTGATATATCGAGTGTAGCTTTTGTTTGTGTTTTGATTCTGACTCCAGCGGCCAGATTTCAGCTGTTCTTCGGCCTCGGAGGCTTGTTAATATGGGCTGTGTCTCTGCAAACCCCTGCCTGAGTGAATAGCTGAGCCAAGCTTGAGTCATTAATTTGTGTGCAGGCGATGAAAAGATGAAGTGAAGCTGATTTTAAAGTTGTTTACCCTCCTTTGGCAAGGAGAGCTTTGTTTTTTAGTTGATAATGATGCAATGATAATGATGAGTTCAGGACACGCAAATTTTGTTTTTAAACACAACAATGAGGGTTGCAAGCAGTAGATTGAAGTTGTTGCTCTGCTGTCTTTAGATACTAACATGTCAATCAGTGCTGATGAACTCTTGTCTCTTCTTTCCTCCTGCGTAGGTGTCGGGGGGAACTTGGTGGCTATCCAGGCCAGCAGGATCTCCACGTACCTGCACTTTTGGAGCATCCCCGGTGTGCTTCCCTACAAGATGAGGCAGAACTGGCCCAATCCCTGCATCACCTTCTTCTCCTCAGGTAGCACAGTCAGAAGACAGGCAGAAAACAACTATGACACATCAGTGACAAGATTTACAACTCTTGTATCTGGATTTTTGCAGATAAAAGTCATAATATAGAGGCATAAAACATTCACCCTCAGCTGCATCATCATCATCACCAGACAAAGAGAAATTGAAGCTTAACTCTCAGTGGCTTCAAAATATCAAATGTCAAAAATGAAACTGACGTCACCTGTTGTGGGGTTGTGTCTGACATGCATGAAAATAAAATCATCAGTGGAAATGATAAAGATGGATAGAGGCAATAAGAAAAACCTGCTCAGTGTCGAGGTTTGAGTTGACTCATATGATGTTGCACTCGCATAATTTTGCAGCAGGGTGTAATTTGTGTGGATGGTTGTGTGAGAATACGTGCGCAGGCCAATGGCAGTAAATCAAAAAGACATATCCTTCAGCAGCCGACATATCCCTGCGGCCACTGCTGACCTGATCTGTGGAGAGAGAGGTTATGAATGCACTGAAGTTACCAAGAAACCCAGGATTTCACCCAGACTGCACGTGGCTACAAAAGTGCTGGTGTTTGTGAATCACACTGTTAAATTTTGGCTCATTTGCATAGGGCGAGGCAACTTTCCCCATTTCCTAAGTTAAATTTGTGTAAAGAGACGTGAAGAAGGTAAACACTTTACTATTTCGAGGTAGTTAATAAAGAACAAGTACCTTTGTTCACACGCACAAATTTGGTGCCCAAATTAGTCATGAAGTTTGTTCATGAAATCACGTGGAAACAGCTGCTGATTTCCTAAGATTCTGGCCCCGACTGAGTTCAAGAGCTGTTCCTCCTCTCTGTTTCTCTAAGGGGTGAACTCCAAGTCAGCCCGGGTGCTCCTGATGCTGGTTATCCCCGGTCATCTGGTCTTCCTTTACGCCATCTCTCTGCTGCAGGGAGATGAGGCTCCTATCTCTGTCGCCTTCACCATCTGTTACCTGTGTGCTGCGCTGTTCCAGGTAAAGTGACTCACTTCAAACACAGACTCTGAGATCATAAACACTGATTAGTTTCTCATGAACTCACCGGCCTTCACCTGGCCCAGATGTTTCACACGACACTCTGATTCACTCTGCAGAAACAGAATCATCAGAGAGTTATGAGCGGACAGACTACCTGTTACCAAACTGTGAAATGATCAGCTGCCAGGTGCTGGTGTTTCAGCAGCTCACTGAGACTCAGATTTGTTCCAGGACTGAACCAAAGGACACCACTGAGTCCTGCCACACCTAACCTTTTTGACTTTCTAAACAAACCAGCTGCTAGGAGTTAGTAAAATCTGAAACTTGTTCAACATGCGATGTTTGACAGTATTGTTTATATGATTGCGCTAAATTAGATAGTTGGTTCTCCTGCACGGATCAGTGACAATCTTTCTGATCTTTGAGGGCTAAAATCAAATTTTAATGTCCTCCAGAGTCCAGGACATCTGACGTTGTCCTAGAATAATCTAACTGCTCCGAAGACATAACTCATGTTGAGATCGCATGCCTGGATCATTACACTTCATAACACAGCAGGAGACAGAAAAACACTCACAGAAAGCCAGAGTGAGCAGCAGAGAGTCACTCACCCGCTGGATTGTACCGCCACTGTTCAGTAAAATGAACTGAAGTAACCTTAAATATGAACAATAAACTCTTTTCAATGACCAGCAAGAGGAAACTGAAGTAGTTACAAATATTAGTGCATATAAAGATGGATGATTCACCTTCGCTTACTCCTGCTTTATTTGTCAACAGAGACAGGGTTAGACCACTTTTTATTAGGAGGAAACAGCTTGATGCACTGCGCTGCAGCCAGTCATCAGGGGCAACTGTAAATGTTTTGGTTTCACTTGTAGGAAGCTATGTATCCATCCATGTTTTCACATAGTCTTTGCAAAAGAAGTTTAATTATGCGTGTTTATAAAAACTATTGCCCTCACTCTCAGATTTATAACCCCGGTTGACATTTTCAAAATGATTTTATAGTCACAATCAAAATTATGGAGCTGTCTCTTTGCACAGTCGTGCTTAAATGGTCCGATGAGAGCAAAGCAGATAATTAACCTGAGTATGCATTTGGGTGTGGCTAACTGTGGAGTCTGGGTGGCAGTTTTCACACACATAAACTCAATCAAAATACGGGCTGTCTCAATCAAGTTTATGTCCTCTTAATTATCCTAAAACAGCTTAAGCCTGAGTCATCTTCTTTTAAAACCCACATGCATCTGGAACTTTGTTTTCTTGAGGTCCATTTTTGGTTGTTAACAGATTAGAGAAAAGTCCTGAGACCAAACAGTGTGTGGATTTTAGCCTAATTCAACAGAACAGGTTTAGAAGATGCAAGATGAAGAGAAAGAAGGAGGATTTGAGCTGAAGAATTTGTATCATGTTTTTAGTGGTATCATAGGAGTTTCTGGTCTTTGAAGGCCATCCTCATTTCATTAACTGGAGGGGCGAGCAAGGGAGTTTTCCTATTCAAAATCAGACTGCTGGATATTGCTAAAAGCTCTTATTTCTACTCACTGTATCTGTACCCATTGTGATCAAAACTGAAAGATTTTTGGTTAATCAGAAACTTCTCCCTCCAGGTGGCCATCCTCCTCTATGTTGCAGACCTCATCATCCGAGTGATGTGGAGACGGAGTCTGGACCCCGACAACTTCTCCATCCCCTACCTGACCGCTCTGGGTGACCTGCTGGGCACGGGCTTTCTGGCTCTGTGCTTCCGCTGCGTCTCATTGGTTCAGAGTCTTGGTCTCTGAGTTTTCCCGCTCATCGTCAAACTCTTTGCCAGCCTCCGTCTTATTGCACCATGTTGTTACATTTGCTCAGAGATACTTTTGGTCGGACAATGAGGCATTATCTGATTGTTATCTCTGGGCAAGTTCATACAGAGGAATCTGTTACACCTTCGAATTCTTTACCGGGATGGAAAGACACCTGACTACCTGACACGTCTATCTGGATGAGGTATTTGCTCTGGGAACACCTCAAACTAATGTCATCCTTTTATTTGAGGGCAAAAAGCTTTTTAGTATTAACTGGTTTTCACAACATCTCCCGTGGTGTGTTCAACTTTATTTTGTTACCATTCCTCTTTACAGCTCTCTATCAGTCTTCCTGCACTTCATATGAGCTGGCTGGCTCTGAGCTTAACTCATCTCACCCGTCAGCTCTTTAATTTCATCAGAAAATGTAGCAGCTGTACAACCAAGAAAAAAAGACAATGATGACAACAACAAAAAAAGAAACTGTCACTTAAAGCAGTCCATGTGAGAGTGGGATGTTCTATGCAGTCAGACTAGAGGCTGTTGAAGGAAGGTAACTTGTATTTTTTTGTGTTTCTAACGTGCAGACCCTCGACTTTTGAAACAGAGGATTTATCTGGAAAAAGGAGTGAGTGGAACAGATTATCTGTTCATTAGAAATCAGGTTTCATACGTGCTACACACAGGGGAATGTCATCTCATGAAAAACTTGAATCTTCATAAATTTCATGCAGTGAACTTTCATATCTATTTCATAACATAGTCTGTAAAGTGATTTGGGAGAACCTTTAACCCAAGAACAGGTACTTCAGACAGGGACTCCTGCACAAGTACCATTTCAAAGAGGAGGAACAGTTATTCCTGGAATGGGCTGGAGGTTTTGATATTACAACAAGAGTTGTTATGGTGGAGTAGGATCGAATAAGATAATGCCGAGGTCAGACTTCATTATCATGTCAAATTTGGCAATCATAGAACCCTCAAATCAGGCCAGAACTTGACTGTCAGACTACAGGATGATACAAGTCCAATCAGCCTGGCCATCGGGGCTAGATGACATCTCAACTGCGTCATCAACAATGTTGTCTTTACACTGTTTCGGGTCTGTTGTGGTTGATGACATATCACACAGGCAGGGATGTTGTTGCCAGAGCTTGACAAGCTTCTACTCTGTCTCATAGTTCAGGAAAGGATTGCCTTTCTTTCATCACCATGTGGTCTGGTTATTTTAGTGCTGTGCTCTCATTGGTCAATATTTAGGGCTGTATTTAAAATGAAGTAATGGAGTTTGACCTCGGCATTCAGTAGGGTTATATGGTGGGGTTGAATAGGGGAGGGTACGATACACATAGGTTGGGGAGGGTAGGGTAGGATAGGGAGACAGAGTGTGGTACAGTTTATTAGGCTTGGGTAGGATATGGTGTAGTAGGGTTAGGTAAAACAGGGTAGAGTGTTGTGGTTAGCACAGGGTTTAGAGGTAGGGTACCCACCAGCAGGTTATAAATAACATTTGCATTAAGACTACTGATGTTAATCTACCTTCTGAATTTACACAGAATGAAACATTTGTTCTGACTAATCACAGGAGTTTTTAAAATCTCAAAGAAACTGTTTGACATTCAGGAAATGTAGCAGTTCTGTCATCTAACTTTTGACAAGGTAAACATACATATTTTCTTAAAATTCAAATGTCTTTGAGGTACAAAGGATTTTCAGTGTTCGCACAAATCTTTTGTTGAGCTCATCCATGCAACAGGAGCTCTTCTTCTTTCTCTAAACTTATTCCACTCTACTGTAAAAATCATTTGAAAAAGTCTCCAAAATACCAAACAGGTGAATGTAATTTATTTATGTTGTGCAACTACAGCTTAGCCCCATGATCCATCATATAAACTCCAGATCTACCGATATGCAGACGATTTGTTACTTTATGTTGCAATGAGTGGACAGTTTTATCGGCAAGGCACGTGCAAACAAAACATTGTTAATATGAATAAGAGTGATTTTATTCTAGATTCTACATCATACTTAATATAGTTTTTAAGGTCCAAACACTAAAGAGATTGTGTGCCAAAGCACTGTGTGAACACCTCTCACTATATCTGTAGCAGACACTAAACCGAGAGAGAAAATGCTGCAGTTTAGTCTTTATTTGTGCTGCAAAAACAAAACAAACCGAAAACAGAAGATTCCCGTGCATGTGTCTTTCACCCCTGACCCCTTATTTATGTTCTGACATTAACTTTGCAGCTGCAGATACTTGGATATTCTCTCACTACTTGATATTTACAGTCCCTTTAATGAAGGGGTGTCAAAGCCTTACTGTTTGTCTCAAAACCATCAAACCTCATCAGAATGTCTTCGGACTTATGTTTCCCCCTCAGTTTCTAACTCTTTCCCTATTTGACTTTGTGTCTCAGCAAACCCAGAAAGATGTAAGATACCCTTCAGTTTTTACTCAAGTGAAGATGTTTGCACCATAGAGGAAAAACCTGTCCAACGAACAGTCCAAACATATTTCACAGAAAAGTCATGTCTTTGCATTCTTATATCTGAATATTCACTGTTCCCGTTTACAGGGAGTTACAAAAGAGTGTTTGACTTTCATGAGTAAAATAAAAATAAAAAACCTTTAACTGCATTAAAGGTGGTATTTCATCTACAGAGGACATCTGAAGCACACTGGCTATATCTCTGTCTTTGCTGTTAATCTTGATGTCCTAAAGATCACAACACAATTTCAAAAGAACTGAAAACAAATGTGTGTTGATGCACTCATGAAGTCACAAGGTACATTTCTGCTGTTTGCTAAAACTAGTAAGATCTATTTTTTGAAGGAAAAAATAAACTAACTAATAGACACTGAAATGTAAGGGTTTTCAAACCAGCCAGTCTTGTGGGTAAATGATCTTTTATTTGAGGTATTTCAGTGTTGATAGTGCTTTGCTAAAAGCTTTTATTGTGACACTGTTACACAGTACTTTTTACACTAGAAGGTGATGAAATATTGAACTAACTGAATCACAGTTTATGTCACTCTGTCTTACTGTATGTGATCCGTGTGTAAACTGTGATACTGTGAGAACTAGACCACAGCTAAGGTTGTGTTTTACCAGCACATCAGTGTGTCTTAATCTGAGGGGCTGGACGATTTACCATCATATTTTAACATCATTATACACCCTCACAATTACATAGACAACAATGAATGTAATGACCACTAATTTTACATCCATGGTTACATTGGTTGTGTTTGCTCACTGGAAAAAGCTCAAATCTTAGCAGGTGTTTTAGTCGTATTTCTGGTAAAAATGTCTCATTGGATTAATTTAAGCCAAATGCATTCATTAAGTTCAGGAAAAGGTCCCCATTAAATGTGTTACATGCCTGAAATAAGTCTTGATTTGCTCGTAATGAGTATAAATAATCTTCTAATCAGTTAAGAGAAAATAAGGTCACAGTTTTTGAAATGAGAGTTTAAGATTGATACTGGTTTGAGTCTAGAAATTGATCATCTTTTGTCATCATCGACTGTGTTATAATGAAACAAAATATACAAATTTAACCTTCAAACACATGATCAATGAGAAGTGTGTCATGTGGTCCACTATTTGAGTGTTTTAAGGGAAGATCACTTGAAAAAATATTGGAAAATGTTGATTTTTTTTTCCCTTGAAGTACTAGATCACATGAGAGCTGAAGCGTGACAGGAATATTGTAAAAACCTACTCACAAAGGCCGAGCGCACACACAAGGATGCTACAGTTCAAGCAGTCTGACTTTTTTAAAGGCATGTTTCCTTAAAAAGTGAAACTCAGAACTTTGGCTTCTAGTGTTCAAATTTCACTCCCTGCCCAGAAGTCACAGCTGTCATCATGAATCTATTGTTACCTCTCTTTTTGGTCCAGCGGGACAATTGGTTGCTTGTTTTAAATTTCTTTTTATGTACGTCTCAAAAAAAAAATGTTTCAGAGTAGTGATGAGTCAGACTTAGACAAAGACAGGCTAGTTTTTTCCTACTGTAATCAGTTTTCATGTTTAGCCCTCATCGGTTGAGTGAATGTTGATGTTTTTTAAAATGTCAAACCATCTCTGATATTTTGGTCAACCGTCCAGCCCTTTTTAAACACTTAGTATGTACAGGAGCTGAATATACCTGTTGGCAAACTTGCACTGTTGTTTTAATAGTAGCTTAAGGTTGCCTTGATAATACCGTTAATGTCAAATGTGTCTTATATTCATCTACAACCTGAAAAAAGCAGCAGCTTTATTGAAATGTTGCTTCAGTCTTTGTTTTTGTTCTGTAAGCGAAGTGTGGAGTACTTCAGTGTTGACACTGCCACATTCAGACTCTACAGAAGCCCTCGGTCTCTGATCTCTCTGTGCTCACTGTCACCATGCTCTCTCACCTTCACTATGTGACCTTCTTCTGTCTGTGCAAAGATCAAGTGGGGAATCAAAAGTATGACTAATGTTTGGTGAATGTTCCATGTGATTTTGTGGCTATGAAGTTATATTTTAATAAAAACCAACAGTGTGAGGAAATCTGGGGTTTGATGACTTCATTGAATACTGTATATGCTTTTGATCTGTGATCTCTGACTCTGGTGCCACAAAAGCCACAACTCACCTAATCTCCTCCAGCAGCCGTTTGTTTGTGGGGGAGCCCTGACGAATCGATCACCGAGTGCAGCGGATTATTTCCATGAAGTAAAATCATAATACTCATTTTGCACTGTAGAAGAGTTAGTTCTTTTGTCTTAGCATCTCGGTCTCATTGCATTTCCATGAAGTAATGATCATAAATGTTCTTACTTGAGCTGCAGAACTCTGCTGCACTCAGTAATCGACTCGTCAGGGCTCCCCTACAAACAAGCGACTGCTGGAAGAGAGTGGGTGAATTGTGTTTAGTCTCTTTGTTAAAGAAACCAGGCAAAGCTAAAAAGATGTTTGGTGGCTAGTACTATGGCTGGACCCTGTATGTACTGTTGATGTAGTTAGGTGCTGTTCTGAGCATTATTTGTGGCTATAGAGTGGCGTGTAGGTTGAGGGCTTGCACATGGAGATGTAGACCGCTGTGTATTGCTGTGGTCGTTGAAGTTGGTATGGCTAGAGAAGCAATCGGTCAGCAACATTCATCTCTCCGGGGGGTGTCTAACTCGGTGTTACGGTGTGTTTGACCATAATTTAAATTTGTGCTGGAATATCCCTTTAAGAAATGATATCAGCCAGGAATTGTACTACTTAATGACTTTGCACAACAGCTAGAGTTTAAAGCCTTTTCCTTACGTATCAGAGGGTTAGAGTCAAGTGACACACCCATGGGATATTGTCCAAAGCAGCATCCATCATCCTGTGTACTGTTCTGTACTGGCCAGGTCGAGTTTGAGTCAAAGTTTTCTCTTGCAAAACAAAGAGAGAAAAGGTTCATAAATACAGTTTCCAGAGGCTTAAAAACAGTCTGATCAGATCAAATCTAGAAGGTCAAATCTGAGAAATGAGGTGTTTGTAGGACGAATAGGATTTCAAAATAAAGGGTTAGATGAAATCTGTTTTTTCCTCCAGTTTTTATGCTGCCCACTACGTTTATAAGGACTGCAGTGATGTGAGAAGAAAGCAGGTCCATCTTTTAGGTCTGATCTGTGGAGGGCCTCTCAAACAATGACAGAGAAAAACAAAAACAAACCAAAAAGAGGAAATCTCACAGATTTTGATAAAAGACCAATAACCATAAAACAAAATCACCACATGAAAACGGTTCTGCTTTTGAAGGACTGTATTTGGTGACAAGATTACCAGCATATCAATCATTACATCAGCAAGTGCACTTCAGTTTTGACTTTTTCACATTCACAGTTAGGTGGCACAAAGAAACCGGTGCATGAAAGATTCTGTCAGATTGTGCTCGGTTCACTTTTCACAATGACTCAGCTCACAGGGAACTGTTCTACTCTAAAGTCTGACTAGCTGTGTGTGTGACACAGCAGCGTCTGGGTGTGTGAGATTCATGAGCTACTTGTTTGTTTCTGTATTTTTCAGGGTTGGAAAAAAAAAAAAAGAAAAAAAGGAAATGAAAAGGTACAAACATGTATTTTGTGCAGCATGTCATTGAGCCAGCTCGGATACATAACATAAAGGGTGTGATTGGCTTTTGGCAAGTCACGTCTCCTCACAAATAATGGTTTAGATCACAGACCTCTACACAGGGGAGTATTAAAATCAAACCCTGTAATCCACGGCTGCAATCGGAGCCAAACAGAAAATATAAAATGTGGCACGGGCAAGATGACACATATTTAAGGCTGGAATACAAGAGGAAGTCACATATAAAGAAAACACAGCCTTTAACACGTCACAGATCCTCACACAGAAATATTGCACTTCTCAAAGCAAAGAAAAAGCTACGTTTCCAGAGCTGGCTTGTCCGGGCCTGTCAAACAATATCAGTCAGAAAATGAAATAATTCACAGAAGACATGCAGAAGATGGAGAGATAACACCAACACAGTTTTCTGTAAATGCAGCCTGTCTCAACATGCAGCAGCACAATTCTGCAAACACTTAGGCCATAAACTGACATCCTGACATGTCTTTAATAAAGGGGATGTTGACTTTTGAGATCTGCAAAGATGACTGCAAATGTCAAGTCAAGAAGGATTCAAGTGTTTTGGTCTCCAGGTCATTCATGTTAGATCTGTCTTTATTACCAGGGCGGCGCCGGGATCTTCTCAGTCAGGGCTGAAAAACTTTAACTCTGAATTGAGCAGTTTTGAAGCGTATTGGATTAATTGTCCATTTTTTGGACAACACCTTCTTTCAGGATGTGACAGATCTCAAGAGTCGAAACAATATTACTGGTCGCTAGATTTGGCATTACACTACGGTGGCCTGAGAGGTACACAAGAACATTTTATGACCTCAATAAAACTTTTAATATGAATGTTTTTGCATTTTTTAAAACTTTTTCATTAATAGATTTTTTCCCATTTATGCATTTCAAGTATTTTTCTGCAGCTGATCCTCAGGGCCACCGTATAAAACAAAATAAACAAAAAAATAAACATGTGGTACTCCTCCACGTCAGAACCTGCTGTCTTCATCCAGAAACTCAACCGCCTTCATTTTGACTTGATATGAACGCAACAAACTGTGTGTAATTTGTGCAGTGACCCTGCTCTTTAAACCGTGCTGGATAAGTTGAGAGTCGGAACATGCTGTATGAACGGATTTTTATGTGCCAACAGCATCAAATGTTTCCTTCAGTTAACAGCTTCAAGCTAAATTTAAGGAGGGATGGCTCACTTCTATCTGAACTTACAAACTTGTAAACTTCAGCTCCCAAAGGCAATGAAGGCAAAATAAAAAAAACCTGAAAAACCAGGTTGATTTTACAAGATATTAACTAAACTTTTGCATAAACTAGTTCTCCCTATCATTTGTCTACAGAGCCATGTCAGTGAAATCCACGGAGATGCTGTTTTAAAGCTCAAACTATAAGAGATATTTGTTATAACAGATTTTTTCCAGCCCTGCAGAGCATTTTCAGTATTTTCCTCTGCTAACCTCGGCATTATTTACCATAAATTCAGTCAAATTTGCTGAACAAGGCCCTGCAGTGGAGATGAGTGCAGGCTGATTAACCCCTCATGTATCCTTCATTCATTCTAACAAGGGGAGCTCTGAGCAGGGGCAGCTCCAGCCTGGACCCAGCCCTGACCACAGTTATGTGGTTGTTTGTTCAGCCTACCTGCCCACAGCTAAATACAGACAGCGATAGAGGAGGGATGGCAACATGCTTTACTGGAATTAAGACGTGACTGCAAGTTCCCCAGAAAGTTAAGTGATTGCTGCGCCGCGTACGACAGGATCTGGTGATATCTGAGCTCAGGTTTGATGTGTGATGCAAAGGCCAAGACAGCAATCATCCTCCAATGTTCGAAAAGGAAATTCAACCTTCCTTTATTCTTTAAAAAAAATCATTCTCACAAAACTTTTAGTCCATATTTCCACTCTCACACATTTCCACAACAATAAATAGTCGCACTGACAAACATAAATAAATCCACTCCAGAGTTTTTGGTCTCCAGGTGTTCTGAATGCGTCTGCTGTGTCGGCACATTCACCTGCACACCCAGGCAAGAGGAGAACCTGCTCCTCTGAAGTCTGCCGTTCATTTATGGCTCATTAGTTCTCCGAAAAAAGCAAGGCAAGGGATAACTTTACTGTAGTGGGCACTGCAGGGATGCTGGCAGAGCGGATCACACCGACTCAACAGCCACGTGGAATTGACGAGAAATGAAAAAAAAAAAAAAAGAGGGGTTTGCTTAGTCAGACAAAGTTATGTGTTGGTGAAAACTCGCACTGAGATGAACCTCAAGCCAGAGAGACGCAGAGAACACACTTTCAGGATGACCTCGTCTGCATTTTGTTCCATCACGTCATAACGCAAGCAGACCCTCAGAAGAGACGCAGCACAAACTGTCTTTTCTTCCAAGTGAGAAATCTGCTTTTCTTCAGAACGTTTCATTCAATGTTAAAATCGAGTCCTTCTCGAAGACCCCTCTGTGGACACTCAGTGATAGGTGCTGGTGACGCTCCATGAAAGGGGTAAAAAGTCGCACAAGAGTGCAGGCCACCAGAAAGTGCAAAACGATCACTTTAAACCAGGGTCTGGTGGAAAACGGGTCCATCATGAAAACTGGAGTCACTTCTCTTTCCCCGCTCCTCATCAAGTCCTGAGGTACTCCGGTGTGGAGTAGTTGAAGAGTAGGAAGTCCATTCGGTACACGTTGAACAGCTTCTTCTGATAGAAAGGGCTGATGTGCTTAAAGAAGCGGGCTGCCATGTTTCCATCGGTTCTGGTGCTCTTACCAGATGTTGGAAACTGGAGCATCCCCTCCACTCCAGCCAGCCTGAGCACCGCCTGAGAATCGGGCTCCAGAGTCTCGTACTTCCCCACCACGTCGTAGTGGATCAGACACGGGTGGCAGAGGGAGTGCACCCGCTCCCAGTGCTCATTAAAGGGCTCCTCGCGTTGAGTCCGCGGGTCCACAAGGTACTGCACGAACTCACGGAAAGTGACATCGTTCCCTTTCTCCAGTGCTTCAGGCTTTGGGTCGGGTCGGTGCCGCCGGATGATCTTGGTTCCGTAGCGTTTGTGGAAAGCGGTGTTGTAGCTACGGGTGAACTTGTTCCTGTAGGCGGAGACCAGGCGCTCGAAGGGCTCACGCACGAAGATGAACTTGAGGTAGCTGCGCAGGCGTTGGTTTATCTCAGGGACCGAGAACTCTGAGAGTGTGCGGAGGTTACCTGCCACATGAGCCTCATTCGCAGGGATAGAGAGGGGGTCCGTGTACCGGCCGTCACTGGTGAGGACCATGAGGACACGCTTCCAGTTGGTGCAGGCCACCTGAAAGTCAAAGAGGGGGGAAATATCACATCATCTTAACATTATCTCAGCCTTTTTGTTATTCACTCCAGGGGTGCAGGTGCAGTCTGAAATTTCAGCCATCACTTTATCTCGCTTGAACCAACCTTAGGCACGTAGCAGTAGATAAGACTGTGCTTATCATCCACAATGAGGTGTTTGAGATCCTCGGGGGAAAGCACCTGCCGCTTCCTCGTGTGGCTCAGACACGCCTGCTCCAGCAGCTCCCTGCGACCCTGGAGGGACCTCTGCGCCGCCAACAGGTCCAGCTGCTTGTAGGGATGTGACCAGGGCGATGGAAGAGGACCCGGGTGGGATACAGAGGGGAGAAGAAAACTTTTAAACTTAGCTGTTCAGAGCTGTGGGTAAAGGTTAACTCATGAAACATGTATTCAAACAGAGTTTGTTCTTAAGGACTGATCAAAGTGAGTAAAGAGGTTTGGAGATTGACTCCTTCTTCATCTAAATTTCATGTTTATCCTCATCTATCATCTATTGAATATCAATCTCACATTCACCCTCTTTTGTCCTTTTTTGGGACACACCTACTTTTGAGCACACGTCTATCTCAAAGTTTGATAACAGTTTTTCCCTGTGAGGCGCTGAAAAAGGTAGTGGGTGTTTGTGCGCCTGTGTTCTCACCTCGTCTCCATTGTAGAGGGCCTGCAGTGGACTTCTCCTGATCTTGCCTGGACTGCTGCCTGTCTTCACGCCAGGTTCTACATCCAGAAAGACAAACAAATAAAAAAAACCCTGTGATTTCAGCTGCTGTGCTCCACACACTTTGATAGCCTGCAGGTCTAAGTAAAAAAAGAAAGCCTCTATTCATCATTCAGACACATTTTTTCACAGCTTTTTTTTTGTAAATTTGTGAAAAGGATGACACCATCAGTGAATCTGTTTTATGTTATATCTTCTTCGTCATTTACAACAAAGAGAGAAACAGAGAGGAGCTAAGTTTGATGGGTTCCTGTTGTGCTGCTTTGTTGATTTTGTCACCGCTGATTCGAGTCAGACCTCTTCGCTTTCATCTCCCAGAAGCGTCTATGTAGGTCACTTTTTTTTTTACTATGTGTCCTGTAGTTTAAATTACACTATAAAGATGTCTATGCAGAGTTATGGGGAAAGGTGAGTCAGAGCCAACTTTCCAAAACCCTCCTAAGCTTCTGCCTTTGTCATGACGTGATTCCTCTTTTGAAAATCCTCCTTTCTTTCATTAAGTGCATAGATTCCATAGGAACAGGCTGTTCCTTCCAAACTCTCTAACTCTTATGTAAGTGACACCTCTCAGACTCTGCTGCTGCTGCTGTTGTTGCTCTTGCTGAAACTTTTTTTTAACCTTTTGAACGTTTTCTTTCCTCTAAAGAAATTATTTATCTGCTCTCAGCAAGTTTTCAGGAAGACACAGTTGACAACAAAACAGATGTGGAGAACAGCCAGAACCCGTTTTCGACAACTATGCAGTGAAGACAGGTTATCTGCAGGTTAGAAGAACAATGCTGAACACGGATTTGTAATGATGGACGTGCTGGAGGCTCTGCTGGTTTGAACAAGCTCAAATATCTTTCAGACCAGAGTCTGTCCTCCGTCCTCCAGTCTTTATAAACACATCTGTCTTCTCCCTCCATCCCCCACTCCCCCGTTACCTCCCCCTCTCAGACCCCCCTCAGGGCCTGATGGCAGTAAGTGTTTAGGTCTGCAGTTAATGGAACTGAGACAGAAACGTGTTTTGTTTTGCACATGTGGCTAAACAATGCAACGCACTGGGAGAGTCTGCTCTCACACACAAGAAAGGAAGGAAATACATTTTAGAAACAGATTTAAATACATTAAACTGATCAATTTCTTCAGAGTTTTAGTGTGTACTGCTTTAGCAAACAAAAATAAACACCAGTATTCCCCTTGTGTGTTCTGCAGCTAGTATCAGTAAATCATCAGTATAAGGTTTATTTCATGAAAGATACCTAAAGATGAGCTGATTTTTCACTACTTCACTACTTCTGAGTGTCACTAAAACAAAGTTCCTCTGCATGTCTGTTCTCCTATCCAACATTTTGTGACGTTTTGGAGCCATATTGACATCCCGCTCATCCTTTTTTTCGCTCAGATTTTCCTCATTTAACCAACACGGCAGAGACTTAAGTCTGCGAACAGACAAATGAGCGTCAGGTAGGGCTGAACAAATAATCGATTATTTGATTATGATGTTTAAAAAAAAATCAAAATCGTCAAATTGATTTTCCTCTCCATCATGTCTCGCGCCTCCAGGCCACCGTAGGCTCCTCCTTTCTGCGGGTGCACTCCCCAGTTCCCACACACACCAGTGTAAACAAACATGACATTTGCAAAGGTAGACGATAATTTCGTGGATAAATAGGGCAAGAGCAAGTCAGTTGTGAGGAATTGGTATGATTTCACAGTTTCATATAAAGAGGCGGTATCTCAACCAGTCCAAACGAAAACGAATTCAGGAGTAAACACAAAAGTTTTTTGTTGTGTTGGCGTTTCATCCACACAGAATCAGCGTTTCGGGTGACTGTAAACAGTACTTTTTAAAAACAGGTCAGAGAGTGCATAAATCCATAAACGACTACCATTTCATCTCCGTGTGAATGCCTATCTGCACAGCATAACTCTTTCATAGTGCCTGCACATGTCCAGCCAAAACTACCTTTATACCCATGCTCCGTGCTCTTCTTCTGTCTTTTGTGCAGCGTTACAGCCCCACTTACTGGCTTGGCACTACATCGTTTTCATTTGTTCCGTTTTGAAAGATAGAAAAACTTATTTTTAAAGTGAAGTTTGGTGAAGTTGACACTGAATAAAAAATAAAAATTGAAATTTAAATTGTTTTTAGAGAAAATAATTGGGGTTTTATTTTTGGCTAAGTCTAGGGCTGCACAATATATCATTTGAGCATCGTCCTCGAGATGTACATGTGTGTGATAGTCACATCGCAGAGCCTGCGATGTACAAGGCAAATGAACTCATCTAATTTCAAGGGTAGCTGACTGACATACACTGCATGTGACTCTGCATATGCTGTGCAGCGATCCACTAATCACATTCGTTTTTTACTTAGTTGCCAATCAGACTACCCTGCCAGCCGTCAATCAAAATTAGAGAGGAGGAAACCACGCCCCTGCACATGTTCTGCACATGGAGTGAGTCGCTGGCGCTGCCAGTGCTGCCGGTGTTGTGCCTGTCCACTAAGAATTACTTCCGGAACACAACTCATCACTGTTTGGCCCAAAAAATTTGAATTGTATGGGTTTTAAATTGTACATTTCCATGACCGCTCTACTATAACCTGGGTGCATTTTGCGAGGTGCATGCAATTCTCGGCTGACGTGTTTCTCGCGCAACACTGGTAACAACAACATCGATTGCAAAATGAGCAACGAACAAGAGAAAACCACAGAAGATGAAGACTTGTTGCCAAAAAGAAACGTAAAATCAGTTATCTGGAATTATTTCAGTTACAAGAAGCATGATGTCGACCAAAACACGTGTTCTGTGTCAGCAGTGCCTTTCATCTGTTGCTACAATAACATCCCGGCACAATAAAAGCAAGCTAGAAATATCTCTAAGACAGACAGAAGCCGTTCTACTAACATTCACAAAAAGAGGTAAGATCAGTGCAGGTTCATTGTCCACAAGCAGCATAACATAAAGTGATATTCAGGTCATCTGGTGAAAATTCCTATATTTTTTAATATCCCAATATATATCGCAGGGTTGAAAAAAAATTGCTATGTTAGTTTTTTCCAATATCGTGCAGCCTTAGCTAAATCATGTAGGGTAGGTAACACTGATGAAAGCACTGCATAGTGCATTATGGGTAATTCATTTTAGGTGCTATTATGACTTACCAAGAGAGTTTTAATAAGGCGAGGATGTACTTTCATTTGCCCTAAAAATGGGATTGGCTTTCTCACAGAAAGAACAGAATCACAGGCAAACACGTTTCTTTGCCAAATCACCAGTTTGAATGACTCACCCTGTGTTTCCTACAGTAAAAGAAAAGTGTTCGCTCTTTGTTGCGTGTCGTAAAGATTCATGACTCCCATTTGGTGTGATACTGACAGTGAAACTGTGGGTTCTGTTCAGTAATTATCTGTTTGACAACTGCAAAGAGATAAAAAGGATAAAATGAATAAATCTAGACATCAGCAGGACTCCTGTGTCTGATCTGATCCAACAGCTTTTCACTGTGTTTCCTAATTCCAGCATCAGGTTACTTTCACACTAAACAATATCAGTATCAGCTACTTTATTTAGACAATCGAACTCTAAACATGTGAAACTGTAGGGACGTCCTGTCTGACAAATTATATATACAGCCTTGATTTGAGACAATTCATCCCACTTTGATTTGACTTTTGCTGGTGTGTGCTTTACATTGACATAAGCTGGAATGAGATGAAGGCGGAGGGAGTTGGGGAATGTGCTTCATGTATATCAGCATAAGGGAACATACTTGAAAGAGGGCCTATGGAATGATGAGAAAAAGCATTCCTTCATATGGAAAGCATATTACTAACCAGCAAGAAGAGAGTGGAAGGGTTACGCTGTGCAAATATGGAATCTATCAGGAGACGCAGCCTCTTTCTCTCCCACTGACTCCTTTCCTCTTGCTGAGTTTATACCCAGCAAATAAACCAAGCCTCGACTGGTTTTTAAATGGCACCAAGGTTTCATAAATCTCTGTGCCAGCCTGTGTCATTCGAGGTAAAACCACAGGTAACAGACTCGTGTCCAGGATTTAAATCGGACTGTAAATCATGACCGCATCCTGCTGTTTTAAGGAAGATGAAACCGAAAAGGAGAACAATTCCAGTGATGTTGACGGGACAAAAATAGAACACAGGAGGATCTGAGATAGACGGTGAGACTCAGTCTGCCTCATGACGTAGCCTCCCCCTGACTCCCCCCTCCCTTCTGCCTGAATCACAGAAACCATCAAACTCTCTGAGCAACTCCGGGTAGGTCCATGCCACATCATCCCAACACACTGAGATAGACATCTGAGTCTTACTGGACCATGCTGCCAGTCCCGCTTTACTGGATTCAATTTAAAGGAACATCATACAGAGCACACGTGCACTTTCATCCAAATTACATCCAAGAGTTTATATATAAAGGGAAATAAGAATAAAGAGCTACTAAAAAGCTCTGCAGAGAAAAAAAAGGATGGCTTTAGAGATCATAGAAACATTTCACTGGGATGAAACGTTAAAACTAGACCCTTTAGGTCTCAAGTAGTACTGAATATAATGAATGAGGCGTCTAAGCTCTCAGTCAACAGCACTGCAGTCCACGTCTTAGGCAGATAAGCCTTCCACAAACTCGAGACACTTCCTCAGGAAGCTGGAAAATAGGTCAGAGACACCTAAGAATGCTCTTCTCACATTAATAGTTTGATTTTTCCTGTTCTTAGGTATAAATACTTCTCTGGGGAGTTTCGTCCACACTGATTTATCAGCGGAGAGGAGAAGAGGAATGTCAAGTACAACATTTTTTTTGTCAAATCAAATGATGGAGGTGGTACTTTGAGAAGATTTCCACCCTATTAAGTTAACCAGTGTTTTTAATTGGCTTCAGTATCAAGAGCTGGCTCAAACTTGGTCCCTGTCATGCATTTCTGAGTTTCGTGGATTTGATGAAGTACATGAATTTCGGTTCTGTTTTTCAGTTCCTAACTGCAGCAAAAATCTTTTCCTGAGAATTGTTTTAGTTGTAAATACTTTGGCCTGCTTTACATCAACAAAATTGTGAGAAGAGGATTGTTGTGGACCACAGAAAGAGCTCCAGACTTTGGCAAAGCTTCACTCAGACAGATAACAACATGACAAAGTGCAAAAAAGGTGATAAAGACATTTCATGAAAGCACATCTAACAGGACCAAGCAACCTGTACCAAAAATAAATATGCAAGATTTATGTAATCAGGATCAAGAACCAACAGAACCAGTACTGATAAGAGCCACAGGAACTGGAATCCATAAAACTGAAATGACCTCAACCAAAGACAACAGAACATTTAGTGAAGACTTTGATCAATAAGTCGACTACAAATTTTCGACTGTGAAAACAAGTGGGTGTCATTTTCAGACAACGTTTCAAAGTGTGATACACGTGGTGTAAATGTGTGAGCTTTTTATTCCACGTGTATTTCCACACATGAACTCTGGTAGCTTTGTTGGCTTGACTCTAAATCCAGATTAACTTGCTCCATTTGTGTTTTCATTTATTTTTACGGTCCACTTTCACAGCTCTTTTTCATTAGCAGTTCATTTTTTTTTGTGTGTAGAAGAAATTAAACTTGAGAAACTTGAGTTTTTCTTGGTTTTGGTAAGTCTTCACAGTCCATGTTTACTCTGTGAAACATATCAGGGTCTAATCCTCTCAGATCTTTACAAACCACATCTTTTTGTGGTGCATGTTCTGTCACATGCACAAGAAAAACCACAACTTCCTTTGAGGCCCAGGATGTGACGCAACACTGATGCTTGAATAAGAGCGAGAGATAGCACATTCTGAGAGGTTGAACCCTGGCTTGTTTTGTTTGTATCTGAGGGACTGAGTGTTAATGTTGTATCCAAGGACAAACTAGGTCCCATTAAGCCTTCAAACTTGGTTAGACGGTTATAAACAGACAGCACTATCATCATCTAACAGACAGTTTATCACAAACAGTGTGAAGATGAATCCTGAAAGTTTTTTCTCTTGGTTGTGTGTGGGCTTGATGCATCAAAACTTCTAAGTCATTAATCTATGTTTAATAATTCACAAAAATTTTGTAGTGCTGTAATCTCTCTCTTCTTCTTGCTGCTTCCCTTTTTCTGAAAATCTCCCCCCTCTGTGGGTATGACAAAAAGCAGAAGAACATGGCATCAATAATGTAAATATTTACTTAAAGAGGAAAATTACACTTAATTACACTCAAAATAATGGTCTGCTTTCATTCAGCGGTGTAATGGAAGTTTCCACTGGCTGAAAGAAAACCATGCCGTAATTGGACTTTGATGGAGGTATATAAAAATCTGTTCCACAGTACAACCAAAAGTGACAGAAATAGCAAAGAGAGTCACTAATGAAAACAGGCGAGAAGAGATAACGCAGTTATCACGAATACCAGACCTGAGTGTCTGTTTGGAGCTAAGCTTCATTCAAAAGTGTGAGACTGTCCACATGCAGCAGATGGAGGTCATTAGACCAACAAGATGAAGTGACTTTATGATCTGGGATATTCTCTGAAAAGAGGAGGCATTTCCTTTGAGTCACACTCTTACTGTCCTATGTCCGCATGAACTGAACAGTTAATCCCAACTAAAATGTAGCAGAGACATTTCTTCAACAGGAACAAGACGACTGCTATGAGTGCTTATCTCTTTGAAATTGGGTTCTATGGATACCTGAATGGTGAAGTGAATTGGATTGGGATGAAGCTACAGAGGATAAACTGACTTGACAAACACAGACAAAAATGTATTCAGACTTGAAGCTATAGCTGGGTGACAACATTCAGTTGAAGTTGTTCCTTCGCATGAGTCATTAACACCATATGAAGAAGGTCCAACTCCTGTAAGACTCAAAGATCCCCAGAGGCTGGGAAGTGCACAAGCAGTAGATTTAGAGTCAGAAAGACACAACCCTAATGCAAAACCAAAAACATCCTCCTTAATATTGGATGTTAGGTACTCAACAGTTGAGGGTCTCTTTTGTTCTCATTGTATTACACCAAATTGGTTTTCAAAGGGTAACAAGTTTGGACTGCAGCCAGCACTTGGGCTCTTCTACTACTGAGTCTACTGCTGATTTCCAAGAAAAATGTCACATTTTGACTTACTTGAGCACACGGGGGCCAAGAGAACATGACAGTCCAGTTATGGTTTTCACACTAGTCCTGTTTGTACAGAGATTCATCCACAATGTCTTAATCTTAATGAATGTCCGTTTAAGGATCAATAGAGTTCTTGTATTGTGTTCTGATACAACTTGTAAACTTCCAATATGATACAGATATTGAAGCCTTCAATACTGACTAATACCCATATTGATCTGATATTGGTGCAAAATTGTGCATGACAAGTTTTTTCACTCAGCTGCAATGTCTTTTTCAGACTTCAACAAAAAGTACTGCCACAAGACCAACATCACTCCTACTTCGTGCTACTTTGTTGGTACCTTAGTACACACTGTTGTTGTGATTTTGTGGGCTCAGCTTGCTGGATCAGGGTGCTGCTAGATAGAGGTGCCAGAGTGGAGTCTGGAATGGACTGCTTGTATCAGAGTGCTGATATCAGAGATTTTATATGCAGGCCAATATAATCTAATATTTGTTTTTTTGCTGATATTGGACCGATACCCGAAATAAATATCGTATCAGGACACCCCTAATTGAGTTTTAGAGATATGACAAATGGGACGACAGACAATTGAATTTCCCTTCGGGGATCAATAAAGTTATTCTTATTGTTATTCTAATTGTATTGTATTGTAATCTTATAACAATGTTTTGTACTATACTTCTGAAGTTGTGAAATCACTGGCTAATGCAGGCTCCAGCAAAGTGGAGAACTACTTTCGATCTCAGCCCCTGAGAGACTCAGCCTATCTTGAACCACTGTTACTGATGCCAAATAATCCAGTTTGATGGGAGATGGCTCTCCAGGCGTTATTTTTGGAATAACACTACTTTTTCCGTGCTCAGTTGTTCCTGTCACAACCTTTTCAAAACATGTCCCTGGCATTAAATTTCCAATGAGCTCTACTTTAAATGAAACGATAACATTGATGGTTTTGATAGTCAATATCATGTCTATTTTCATTTCAACGTTAATACTCATATGAGCTGCAAAAAGCAGATCAGCTTAGATGAGGAAGTTTCTCAAAAAAAAAACAAAAAAAACTAAGGGGTTCAAATTAAGTTCACATCAATGAGCATGTGCATATGTCACCTATCTCATTTAAAATTGGAAGAAAGCCTAAAACTATAGCAAGACACTTTATAACTTCACCCAGACTTCCTCCTTTTCCAGTGGAGAAAATGTGAAGAGATGAGATGAGATGAGATGAGATAATGCATATAAAAAAAAAAAAAAAAAAACAAACAAACACATATTTGAACCATGCCAGTGACCGCTTCATGCTAGAAAAATAGTAAGCCGTTGGATGATTGGACTAATCAACCCCTACCTAATATACTGTATACTTCAATGCACTGTTGCTTGTAAGGAAACAGCTCTTTAATGTTTTTAAAAACCAACTCATTTCTTTGTTCAGAGTCATTGTCTTTGTTTGCAGATTCCAGTTCAACCAACTCCTTTATTTCTGACGAAACAGACATACCACAAAGCGCCCAACCACAAATGGATCACGGCTAACCCAAGGCTACTGGTTTACAATAGAACCAGGAAGATCAGAGGTACAGACTTGCCTGACCATGAAGCACTGGAACCACAACATTTCTATTACTCATTTTTGAACAAAGTCCTCCAGCTCCTGTATTTGCATATAAATCCACTCATGTTTTGGTGCTTTCCCTTCACTTAAAACATTCTTCAAAGTGAGCCGTTTCAAAAGGAGAAGCGCGGACGTTTTCCGACTTACTGGACATTGCATGTTTAGGATATCAACACATGATACAGCCCACAATTTGAAGCACAACAAACAGTCAGCAGGTGTAGCATCATGTGGTGAGCAGCACTGTTTTTAAAAGCCTTTAGCAATGTGATGTCAGCTCATAATGGTGTTTGTGTGCTTCTCAACAGCTGCACTGATGTCAAAGTGGGTGTAAAAGAACAAATACTAAATAACAACACAGTAAGGCATGCTCAGGAACTTCCAGGTAAACCTTAACACCCGCCTCATTCCTTGACCTACCAGTCATTTTGAGGTGGATGTGATCGTTTCCTCCAGAGGTAAAATACAAACTGTAAACAACATACCTTTGGTCATGGCTATCAGAAAATGTACACTGTGGTTTGTTCACTGGCTCTGTGTGTGGGCAGGACACATAAGAGCCTTCATGTTGGCTCTGTTTAGATATATGATTATGAGGCGGACTTCATCACTGTCACAAGAACCAACAGGGATGAATCTGCTTTTGTGAACTACAGCGATAGCAAGCAGAAGCAGTCTTCAAAAACCTGTCACCAGTCTGCAGCACTTCATCTGTTCATTCATTTCAGATTTGATTAGTATGTGCAACGACGATTTCAGACAGAAAACTGGAGTAGTAAAACACTGACTAAGATAAAAGGAGAAGCACAGCTTTATATGTGTTATTCGAGTACCCATGGGCATTTCAGCTTGATCAGACAATTCACTATTGTCTCTCATAGCTGGGAAAGAGAGGGAAGCATTTTCCCACCCTCTCATATGTGAGCCATATACAACCAGCCAGCAAATGAGGTGGAAAAGTTGGAGAGGGTGCATGTAGAGCAAACAGACCCATGAACAGAGAAATCCAGTATGTTCATGGTTCAAATGTAATGATTTTACCAAGACTACAACTGGGGTAAAAGTCGTGGCTGTGCTCAGACTATTCATGTCAGTTCACATTAAGATGCAAATATAATAGATAAGATATCGTATAACTTGACGCAAATAGTAACAAGGGTTTTTGAGTTTCAGGGCGATGATAGGAAATGGTTTAAGGTGTCAAACTGCGGAGCTGAGAACTTGTCAAGTTTGCGCAAGTGTGGCTTTCACTCTTCCTATTAATGCTGACAAACACTCTTAAGGTTTGTCAAGTGCACAACTGTGCTCCACCTCTCCATGCTGAGCTAGCATACACTCAAACAACGCTCATAATGATACTGGGGCAGAGCCCTGCTGAGTCAATACAACCACGTAAAGGAGAGCCTCAGAGGAAACAGAAACTGGGTGTTCATGTCTATTTTTGTTGTAATTACGATGTATCAAGTACTAGACAGGCGGACTGGAAATAGAGCATCATGGAAATGTCCAAAACCTTTATATCTAACTGGTTTAGGAGGGGATTTTGGTTAACTGTTCAGTCAGAAGGAGGATAAGTTAATGCTAATGAAAATGAAACAAATCGATCATGTAAAGACGCAGCAGTGTAGATGTGTTGTAAGGGGTCTCTCAGAGGGTACAAAGACTAAAACTGTCTACCTGTGTGACAACTTCAACTGAGAGCAGTCAAGTCCACAACATACAGTTTTTCTGCAGCTGTGTAGCTCCTGATGCTAGGTTGGCTGGCAATACAAAAGAAGTGTTTCCCACAAGATGGGAATCTATCAGTGTTGCTGTGTGATCGCAGATGACAACTCTTGTCTTGTGCACGCCTGCCCCGAGGTGAAGGTTTTAAGTTGTGGCGGCTTTTATTTAACCATGGCAATGCGCCAGTCTACAGTAGTGTGTTTATGACAGTCTATCAGTCTAGAGAAGAGAATCATACTAATCAAATGAATTCATTACATACAAATCATGTGATATAACACTGAATGGTACTGGTGTTCAAAGTCAAAAAGCTTTCTTTTTTGATTTAGCTTGAAACACAAGGCTTTAACATTCATGTATCCACTCATTTATTTCGCTTATTTCATACTAATAAAACCAGAGGAAGCGCTGTACCCCCCTGCTGAACACCAGGATTAGATAAGGATCAACAACAGCAGCAGGGTTATGGAATAAGGAGTCAGACCTGAAGGCAACTAACTCAAATTCCTAAAAGAGTAAAAAAAATTCAAATAACAACAAATCTGTCATAAATGAACAAACGAGTCTAAAACGGTACACGGGACACTCGTATTTCTTTCCTCCAGTGCTAATCCTCTGGTATCAGCACAGGAAGGCAGACAATAAAACAGGATAATATGCACTGTGCTTCCTGTCTGGTAATTCAACAACAAGTTCAATTGGGAGATGTGGATCAGAAAGCTAAGGGGACAGGAAACATGAGGGTATTTCAAAACTACATGAGAATGCTCCTACCCAACACTGAAGAACCAGATATTTCTATTTTCTATGTATTGTTTTGGTGCTTTCTTTGTCCATAAGGTGATTATTAAAGAAATATTAAGTAAGAGGATTTATGACTGAGGAATAGTGTGGAAGAAGTCTAGGTGTCTAGAAAGCTTCATAAAACATGCTTTTATCACATCATCGGAGGAACACACACAGAGTGGGCTATGGGCTTTACAGTCCAAGTCTCAAAATGACCCTTCAGTGTTCACTGTTAAGGAGGTTTTCTATGAAAGCTAAACTATCCACGGAGGTCTCTTCCATTACAAATCCAATAGAACAGTTTGATTTAGACCCCAAGACACACTCAATAAAGCTGTTTCATGCTAAAAATCAATCCCAACACTACAAATTGAGCAGCTGCCAGTGTTACACAGCGTGACTACAATCCTTCATCTAGTTTTAGAGGTACAGTGAGTGGTATTTAGTGACATTTCACTGCACAGACTTGGTAGAAATAGATTTTTCTGAGGTGTATTTAAATCAGGGTGCAATTACCCAAATATAAAAACTGCTCTGTTTTTGTTTAGTCAGACTGAGCCACAAGTTCCAACGACAACCAAATAAGGGACATACGATGTGCCTCATGCAGTTTTTTTCTTTAGTGAGTGGCCACTGAAAGTGCCCTGATTGAAAGATGAAGGTGACAGTGGTTGTTAAACACAAATAGTTAGTATTGATGGAAGTTTTTGATAGTCAAATTCAAGGAATTGAAGATCATGATTCATTACAAGAGTTTCTTTTCTACTAAGACCGCTGTAGCTTCCCAAATTCAAGGAGTGAGCAAGAGAGTTTTTCAATCTGAGATCTGACTGATAGAAATCCCAAGATGTTCCCATTCTATCAGATATGATAAAAATGATGAAAATATCTGACAATCGTGCACTTACTGGGTAAAACATGTTACTTGCAAAAACAGATGGACTCAACATTTGTAACACAAACATGGTACTTTTGACTCCAGGACTTTTCCACAAATATACTCTCTTTTTTCTCTGAAATCAGCTGATGAATTTTCTTTTCCAAGATCCAATCCAAAAGACAATAAACTGGGTTCATGTAGATCTGCATGTAGTTTGTCCAAATGGTGTTGCCATACCTACTTCTCCTTTGAATGAGAAGCAAACATCACTCAGGTATAAATCCTAACATTTGTTTGATCACAAATGAACATTTTAAATGAAGTTGTCTTTGTATCTAGCAGCTTGATTGTTGTTTTTATTACATGGTTGATTACTGTTCATATTAAATCAGAGTCAGAAATCCATGAGTCAAGAGTATCCATAGTTTGACTCCAGTAATGAAGCTGTGTACCATCCTCTTTTTTCTCCATTAACCTCAACTTTACAAAAAGAAAAAAAAAAAGAAAAAAAATATCGGAAACTCTGCTGCTCTGGAGTTCGAATGAGCTGGCATATTTTTTTCATTACCTGAAATAATCAATCACGGTGAATGAATCAAACATACAGGTACACAGTGCAATATACTTCTCCAGTTTCTCTCCTGCTCCAGTGTAAGTGAAACCAAGCCAGAGAGAGGATTTAAAAGCCAAAGGAAAAAAAAAAAAACAATATCCAGGATAAACTGAAGTGACAAGTTTGAAGTTGGCTTCCAAACTGTCTCTGGCTAGATACACAGTAATTAGGAAACCCTGTGCTTTGTTGACTTCCTGTGAATTAGTTGCGTCTAATGTGGATCCAAGAGGCTCTCTTAGAGGCCTGCATGTCTGCTGGTGGGGCTGTAAAGGGAACGTGCCTGAGCAGGTTGAAAGTGTGGATACGTACACCTAGTTAAGAGGAGGGGGTCAACGGGGGTGCTGACATGTGCTGTTTGCAAGTTTGGCAACATGTGGTAAGTGTGTCTGCCGCCGACAGTGAGCGTGTATTTGCCGTGCAGTGGTCTGTAGAAGATGATTTATTACTGTGGTTTTAATCTGGGTGTGTCCTGGAAACAATTCAGGAGAAATTATGGGTGTAATTACGCTTTCTAATGTTAAGTGATTTCTTCATCGTTATCTTTTATATTTGTATCACTGGTATGTGCCTTGACTCGTCAGGAACTGTCACCTAAAGTAGACATAGTTCAAAGCTTAACACTAAGTTTACAGATCTACTTCTCCATTTCAGCATATCTCTCACTGATTGATCAGTCATTCTCTATTCGCCCACAACTGTTATACAAAACTAGGCACATTTCTCCTCTCTGCAGCCTCCTCCCTCTCCACATCCACATGAACACACCTCCTCTCAATCAAAATGCTCCTCTTCCCTCTCCTCCGAACCCTCGTGTCATTTTGCCTCAGCTTATTGAATGGTGTGCTCAAATCAATCATCCCGACCTCTGTCTCTCTGACTGAGCTCTTAGTTCTCTCCTCTGGGGTCTGCAATCCCCTCTGGGGCAAACCTGTCTTTCAATGTGCAGATTGGGCTCAGGCTAAGCCCAGGAAACAAAGAGAGCAGACAGGAGAGGAGAGGTAAGAAGAGGAGCGGAGGAGGGTTTGAGCACAGGAATGCAGGGGGTCTCTGGGAAGGGGGGCTATCAAAACATTGCACAGTTCACAGTGAGCTTATTCATACTATGTCTCAGTCACATTTCATTCTGACATTAAGTTCCCTCTGTTGAAAACATGTAGATTTACAAAGCTGGTGATGCACATTATATATGTTAGTGTATATAAAAGACTGAAAGGTGCATTTAAAGGACAAGCAAGTTTATATCACTATTTCCGTGCGCTTTTACTTCATACTGGGATTAGCATATGTGGTGGTGTATGTGACTGCCTTCTCTCTTAGGGTCATTTCACTCTGAAAACAGTAAACCCAGTGAGCTACTTTCACTAACATACTCTGCAGAAATGAAAGTAAATCAAAAATAAAGTTTCCTTCAATATATAACAGTCGCATATAACCCGATAATTAAAAGGGGTAATGGTTTGAGAAGTGTACCTGTTTTATGTGTATATTGTGTAGAGTTTTAGAAGCGTCTTACCTGGCTTTGTGATGCTCTGGAAGTAGAGCACCAGAACGAAGAGCGAACCGAGGCACGTCGCCAGGAACAGGCGTCCTCCTTTGGGCATCCTCATCCTGAAGCCCGGCTCTGCTGGCGGAGCCCCCGACCCCTCGCCGCTGCCTTGACACGGTTCATACGAGACCACCCGGCGGAGGATGCGAGACTTTTCGAAGAAAGGGGGGAAGCTATTTATCAATTACAGACAGACTAACAGGGAAAGCCACTATCCATCCAGAGATAACATTAGCCGAGATTTGAGCAACTGTGAAATTAGCTGTTAATGTAAACGGCTGTGGGACGTTAATCCAGGAACGTCCGGTTTTTGACCGTTTTTAGACGTTAACTCAATAATTATGACAAATTAAGTGAGGACACCTTAAATTTCTGACGCTACGCTGATATCTACAGCTTTTAAACGTAGAAATGAGTCAAATCCGCTCTCCTAGTGAGCTCTGGCTGTGTCTGAAAGCAGTGCTGAGTGGAGTTTGTCGAAGCTATACAAACTTCTTCTCCGCCAAACATGGACGGGGCACCGTGCCATGACGTCACACCCACCTCGATCTCTCTCGCGCGCCCTCTCCCAGATTGAAGTTCTTGTGTAGCGTTCATGAACTATCGGAATCGGCACAACTAAATATTTAGACAAACGCGTTCCCCGTGTGATGTCAAGCTTTGCAGTAAATATCACAAACAGCAAGTCTGCTCTCAAGTTTAAACTCAGAGCACTACGTTTGACTGAACAGCGTTCGCCAATCCATTCAGTGTAGATCACCGTCATTTTGAGAAGCACGGGTAAACGGGGGGTACTTGAAAGCAGCATTGCAGTCGTTTACAGAGATTTCATCACAAACTGTGGTACAGCGTGTCCTTGCACACGCAATGACAGCTAACTGATGCTTTCAGCACGAGGATTTATGGGACCCTCAATTCATGAAAATAACGACATTTAAATACGACTCTGGGCTACAAACTCTTAATGAAATCCGCACACTACGACACTCACATGTAAACTTCTATTAGGAGCTTACCTGCTGTGGAGCATGGGTGAAATAGGCTATCTGTGGTTTGAGTTTGAATTTTTAGTCCTGTCTCTCTAATTGGAAAAACAGAGGCTGCAGAAAAAATCAGTATGCGTATGTTGTGCAACTGTTTCAAACTTATGTGGCTGCAGCACCAAAACATTTTCTACTTGGATTGTGCAACTTCAAATAACATATTGTGCAATTTAAACTAGCTTTCCCCCCCTTAACAACAAAGATTTTACATTATTTATCATGATATTTATTTAAGATGGCTGAACATTGAATGTTTATGTGTAGATATACCAGGAGAAATAATTATGCATGGATTTTCTTACTTTGCTGTCTTGACATGTTTTCAAATTCCACTGTGCTTGAGTTTCTTTCGAGTAAATTGGTTCTGATTACATTTCACCCCAGTCTTTTTCTGAATCAAAGCCTGCTTCTTGAACTATAAAGAAAATTATCTTCACGCCATGCCTCGGAGCATGAAATGCAGTAATGATCTCTTCAAATGTTTGTGCTAAAGGGCAAAGTTTCAAAGAGTTTTATGAGTTTTGGCCAACATTTGACATGTTAATATTTCCTGCTGTTTTTGGCCCATTGCCAGTATCTATGTATATGAACACTTATTTCACATGATTTCAGACACCTTTATCCACCTGTAGTTGAATAATTGCCTATGATACCTCAGGATTGATAGTCACAGAGATCAATGTTGATAAAGAGATTTTGATGATTTACTTATCATTAAAACACTATTTTAACTGGTAATAGTGTAAAGACAACATGTCAAATGCTTTCACTAAAATATATTATTGTTTTACTTGAAACATACCCTTCAGTTCAGATATGATGGCAGTAACTCGTTTCTAAAATGTTGGGACAGGGACACATGTCTCTGATTTGAATTACCTCCTCCTATAACAACACTGTAAATATTTGAGGGAAATGTCGTCCCATTGTTGCCTGACAACAGATTTCAGCTGTCCAACAATTTGGGACATTTGTCATATTTTTATGTTTTAATGGGTGACAAGCTAGGGCTGCAGGCAGGCCAGTTGAGCACCCGACTCCTCCCCCTCAGCATTAATGGAACCTTTCCACATGTGTAAGCGACACATGCCATAGGCACTCATGCATTCCCATACCACCACGACTGCTGGCTTTTGAACTGATAACCAGCTGGGTGGTCTCTTTCTTCTGTAGAGTGGAGGACACAGCGCCTATGGTTTCCAAAAAGAATGTCAAATTACGTCAGACCACAGGACTGTTTCCTGCTGCCACTTAGTCCCTCTTCAAGCATCCCAGCACCAAAGAGGTTACCAGCACTTCTGGATCATGTTTATGTATGGTTTACCCTTTTGTACAGTACAGTTTAAACCTGCTCTTGTGGATGCAATGAACTGTCTGGACTGTGATAAATTTGAGTTTATGCAGAAATTTCCACTACAGAGTCGTGTCTTTGAATGTAGTGACTCCTGAGGTCTGGAAGATTATGACAATCCAGTATTGGTTGTTATCCTTTCGCTTTTTGTGCACAGATTTCTCCAGATTCTCTAAACCATTTACTAATATCATGAAATAGATGAACAAAAACTGTCTTAATTCTTCAGAACTTGGCTTTGAAACTGTTCAACTCTTAGCTGAATGAACATATATTTTTCATGAAACAACATATTTTTTCAGTTTCTGCATTTGAATTGTTGTCTTTGCACTATTTTCTATTACATATAGAGTTCAAATGATTTAGAAGAACAGCTCACACTGCATCCCAGCTTTGTGGGATTGGCGTTGTGGAATATGGTATATATTTTCTTGGTACCACTTTTGAAGATGCATACTGCTACCTACTGAATTGGAACGTTATAGAATCGTGTGGGCATGATTAAATGTCATTTAATGATTAAATGTCATTTAATCATGCCCACAACATTATATCAGCAGTAACTTTGATTCTGAGCCAGCACTGATAACTATTTTCAAGCCTGTATGTTTAGACTCTCCAATTTTATGCATCTCTTATAAGCTGATAGTCATGATGCAGCTTCATGTACATCAAAAACATTTTAATATTCCTCTGATGATTTAAAAACATTCACTCAGACTAATAGTTTTTGGGGATGCAAATGTCAAATTTCCAAATCTCATTATGTCGGTTTGTGTCCATAAAGAAGCATGTGGAGCTCATGCATACAAGCAAGAAGACTATGAAGGGGCACGGGCACTATATAGCCATAAAAATGCTGTAGTTACCCTCATGCCATCATTATACCTAAAACTTGCCGTCACTCCTGTTTATTGCTTGGAAACACTTTACAGAGATCTCAGACTTCAGAATAAAAGAGGGCTGGTTAATGATGACTTGGCAAATCATGTGGCTGTTTGAGCAAATGTTAGCTTTCACCGCACAACTCTCACCAGCAGATGGTTTACTGACCACCCACAGGGTCTCCATCTACACCCTAATTACCGACAAGTTCCTCATTACAGTCTGCTGACTGGTACTTTAGGGGATATGAAGTGCTTGTGTCTGTGATTTATTCTTACGTTTACTTCTTGAGAAAGGATGTGTCGTTTCATCTGAACCACGGAGTTGGTGCCTCTTTTGACGGAGTGAGGAAACAACTTTTGAGGAACTGGTTCCTCTTCGTCTTTGCTGTTGTGACATAATAAGATTCACGAAGTCCTCCTTGTAAAATATGAAAAACTTATTTCACAAGGCTCATGGCTGTATCAGTGTCCTGTCTGTTACCTTAAAAAGATCAGGAAACCCTCATTGATATCATCTATTTGAGACTTAATTTCTTCGACCATCAGTCAGAGCAGTGTTTAAGTGTTTAGTGAAGTTTTTCACCCTAGCTGTTTTAATGTCTACAATCCCAGGGCTATTTTTAGTTAAGTGTTGTTTTCTCCACATGGATCGAAATGACTGGGTAAAGAGATCTTAAGTATGAATCATTTTGGAAACGATAATTAAACAAGAGTACAGCTTTGACTATGGATTTTAACAAAATGTGTTTTTTTTTTTTATTCAAGGAAGGGAACGACAGGAAAGCCCCTGCAAACACTACTCTATACTGTTCCCAAAATGTGCCCATAATCTTCTCTTTCTTAGGAGTGAAGTAATCTGTACAACATTAAAGCTGTTAAAATTTGACAGAACATTACTGAGGGTCAAATAAAGAAATGAGGTTATTTCAGATTGTATTAGCTGGGTTATCTGATGTCAAACAAATTGCAGTTAGAGGACTGTTTTTATCAGGATAGTGTGTAAAAATAAGGATATGTAGTATCCTCTATTGGTCAGATTTTAGATCAAAATGCCCCCTTGCTCACCCCTGTCTGCTAGTTAAGCAACATCCTTTGAGGATGAGTAGCTGCCGTGATGCATGTTCCTCCATTTGTCAAGCAACAAAAACATCAAATTAGTACAAAAATCCTACACCATGATTGATTGTTCACCTCATCTGAAGTGGTACTCATACTGAAATCAGCCATTCAGGTTACTTTTAAAGCTCATCTGGGTCTTCTACAGAGTTACACTGATGAAATGTTGCTGCTGTATGAGCCCTGCAGCCTAGAACCTTGGATCCTAAGGTTTGTCATTTTGGTTGTTCAAAGTTGAGGATCCAATCAAAAGGTGGGCCAACTTTGTACTTTGAATATCTATGTACTTTATCACTTTTAATCTGTTTATTTGCATATAATGTTGCATTGCATTTTCCTTTTATCTACTTTTTCCACTCTTTATGAATGCAGTTATTATTTGGGTTACGTTTCTACAGGCTGCTAATGGCTTCCTGGCATCTGAATGTGGGATGTTTTACTTTTAACTGTGACTTTGGACAAACATCTTCTTTTTCAGTGCCCTAGTTCAGCAGGTTTAAACTCTGCTGAGTTATCTTCTGAGGTTAAAGGATGTGCACACAAATCAGACATTTTCAGATTCTCTGATATAAGAAGTCAAAGTAGATAAGACTATTGGAGATAACCCCCTTAAAAGCTTATTTTGGGTCGACAGGAACAAAAAGATTCATATGTTTAGTTGAATATATACTCATTTTAACATACTTAGGATCATTATAATCTACACACACTGTCAACACTTATTATATTCCATTTCTAAACACTCGCTGTGTGCCAAAATAACTTGTACTGATAGACATTTTAAAAGCATGCAAATAAAGGTTTATATTCAGCATGCACCACCGTAACTTCTGGAGCTTTTCTAACAGGAGGGGTGAGCAAGGGAGCATTCAATCCAGGATCTGCAAGTTATTGCTAAATGTTCTAATTTATTTATGTTTTAAACAAGAAAAGTCTCACTGCTAAAGAGTTCTTGTTTATTATACCAGGATCTTATTTTGTAAGTTTGACATTAATCTCAATATTACACCTTACATAACATTTCTGCACCCTGCATACATTCTACAACACCGATTGCAAGTAAATAAATCCAAACTGTAAGGAGGCATGTCTTAAAAATGTTCTTTACATGAGACTGATAAACCGTAAGCGAGATAAATGTTTG